CTAAACCTGCTAGAGGTCAAATGAAGCCCGGTGAACAGTAAAAAGGTGGTCATTCCGGTAACAATGAAATGAAAATGTTTAGATGAGTGAAAGCCAATTCAAATTTCACTTTTAGTTTGCCTCAAAGTTTCTCCAATGTCATACTTTATGATGCAGTAGAGGTCTTCCACAGTAGCTCTCCATTCAAGAGAACTCAGAGCCTCCTCCCCTGCACAGTAGTGTAGTATGATGTGGCATAAATCAGGGCCCGGATGGAACAAATGGTTGATAAGAACTAATTAGACCTGGGGGATGTGGGTTCAAGAGATGTGGACGTTATTAATATACAAGCATAAATCAGATTGCTGCATGGGAAGGCTCTACTGGCTGGGGCTGGGGGGAACCACACAGGACGAACCAGTGTTGATGAAGGAAGGGCTGAATGGTCTCTGTTGGTCTGTTAGTCTCATTCAAAAAACATAAGCACACAATAACAATCTCCTCACAGTTCTTAACCCTCCCCGCAGAAATCTAATTAGAAAAATAAAAAAATCTTTAAAATCTGTCTCTTTAAGCTAGAGATTCCTGGCTGCGTCTCAATACAGCGCATCCAACAATGTCGCCCTTCCGTATCTGCGGTGAAAAGGTGGCAGAGCTACAGCGGTGTTTGTCAGACTTTGAGATATCCCGAAAAACTGTCCTCTCACAGAAACGGTTTGGCCTACATACTATTACCCCTCTGTGGAAGATGAGACTCTCACGAACACCTACATGTCAGTTGTTTTGCTCTACGACCCCCACAAGCATCACAAGAGACTCATCTGAAGTCAGCACAGACGATCTGCAAACTTCTGTCTGTAGCATTTGAAGTTTGGCCTACACACAAATATGACCCCTTTATGGAAAGGTGAGTCCCTCACGAACATTTACATGTTGGACGCTCACAAGCCTCACTAGACTTGTCTGAAGGTACCCCGGTACAAGTTTAAAAATAAATGGAAGTATACAGTGCATTCGGAAAGTATTCCGACCCCTTCTCCACTTTGTTACGTTACAGCCTTATTCTAAAATAGATTAAATAAAAAATGTTCCTCATCAATATACCCTAAAATGACAAAGCGAAAACAGGTTTAGAAATGTTTGCAAATGTATTTAAAAAAGCATTTTTATATATATACACACTACCAGTCAAAAGTTTGGACACACCTAATCATTCAAGGGTTTTTCTTAATTTTTTTACATGGTAGAACAATAGTGATGACATCAAAACGATGAAATAACACATATGGAATCATGTAGTAAACAAAAAAGTGTTAAACAAATCAAAGTATATTTTATATTTGAGAATCTTGAAATAGCCACCCTTTGCCTTGATGACAGCTTTGCACACTCTTGGCATTCTCTCAACCAGCTTCACATGGAATGCTTTTCCAACAGTCTTGAAGGAGTTCCCACATATGCTGAGCACTTGTTGGATGCTTTTCCTTCACTCTGCGGTCCAACTCATCCCAAACCATCTCAATTGGGTTGAGGTTGGGGGGATTGTGGAGGCCAGGTCATCTGATGCAGCACTCCATCAATCTTCTTCTTGGTAAAATAGCCCTTACACAGCCTGGAGGTGTGTTGGGTCATTGTCCTGTTGAAAAACACATGATAGTCCCACTAAGCCCAAACCAGATGGGATGGCGTATCGCTGTAGAATGCTGTGGTAGCCATGCTGGTTAAGTGTGCCTTGAATTCTAAATAAATCACAGACAGTGTCACCAGCAAAGCACCCCCACAACATAACACCTCCTACTCCATGCTTTACGGTGGGAAATACACATGCGGAGATCATCCGTTCACCCACACCGCGTCTCACAAAGACACGGCGGTTGGAACCCAAAATCTCAAATTTTGACTCCAGAACAAAGGACAAATTTACACCGGTCTAATGTCCATTGTTCGTGTTTCTTGGCCCAAGCACGTCTCTTCTTATTATTGGTGTCCTTTAATAGTGGTTTCTTTGCAGCAATTCGACCATGAAGGCCTGATTCACACAGTCCCCTCTAAACAGTTGATGTTGAGATGTGTCTGTTACTTGAACTCTGTGAAGCATTTATTTGGGCTGCAATTTCTGAGGCTGGTAACTCTAATGAACTTATCCTCTGCAGCGGAGTTAACTCTGGGTCTTCCATTCGTCTCGCGGTCCTCATGAGAGCCAGTTTCATCATAGAGCTTGATGGTTTTTGCAACTGCACTTGAAGGAACTTTAAAGTTCTTGAAATGTTCCGGATTGACTGACCTTCATGTCTTAAAGTAATGATGGACTGTTGTTTCTCTTTGCTTATTTGAGCTGTTCTTGCCATAATATGGACTTGGTCTTTTACCAAATAGGGCCATCTTCTGTATACCCCCCTACCTTGTCACAACACAACTGATTGGTTCAAACGCATTAAGAAGGAAAGAAATTCCACAAATTAACTTTTAAGAAGGAACACCTGTTAATTGAAATGCATTCCAGGTGACGGTCTCATGAAGCTGGTTGAGAGAATGCCAAGAGTGTGCAAAGCTGTCATCAAGGCAAAGGGTGGCTATTTGAAGAATTACAAATATAAAATACATTTTGATTTGTTTAACACTTTTTGGGTTACTACATGATTCCATATGTGTTATTTCATAGTTTTGATGCCTCCACTATTATTCTACAATGTAGAAAATAGTAAAAATTAAGAAAAACCCTGGAATGAGTAGGTGTGTCCAACCTTTTGACTGGTACTGTATATACACACACATTATTTACATAAGTATTCAGACCCTTTGCTATGAGACTTGAAGTTGAGCTGAGGTTCATCCTGTTTTCCATTGATCATACTTGAGATGTTTCTACAACTTGATTGGAGTCCACCTGTGGTAAATTCAATTGATTGGACATCATTTGGAAAGGCACACACCTGTCTATATAAGGTCCCACAGTTGACAGTGCATGTCAGAGCAAAAACCAAGCCATGAGGTCAAATAAATTGTCCGTAGAGCTCCGAGACAGGATTGTGTCGAGGTACAGATCTGGGGAAGGGTACTAACAAATTTCTGCATGATTGAAGGTCCCCAAGAACACAATGGCCTCTATCATTCTTAAATGGAAGAAGTTTGGAATCGCCAAGACTCTTCCTAGAGCTGGCCGCCCGGCCAAACTGAGCAATCGGGGGAGAAGGGCCTTGGTCAGGGAGGTGACCAAGAACCCGATGGTCACTCTGACATAGCTCCAGAGTTCCTCTGTGGAGATGGGAGAACCTTCCAGAACGACAACCATCTCTGCAGCACTCCACCAACAGGCCTTTATGGTAGAGTGGCTAGACAGAAGCCACTCTTCAGTAAAAGGCACATGACAGCCCGCTTGGAGTTTGCCAAAAGGCACCTAAAGGACTCTCAGACCATGAGAAACAAGATTCTCTGGTCTGATGAAACCAAGATTGAACTCTTTGGCCTGAATGCCAAGAGTCACGTCTGGAAGAAACCTGGCACCATCCATACGGTGAAGCATGGTGGTGGCAGCATCATGCTGTGGGGATGTTTTTCAGCAAAAATTTATAAAAACCTGTTTTTGCCTCGTCATTATGGGGTATAGTGTGTAGATTTTTTTTAAATCCATTTTAGAATAAGGCTGTAACGTAACAATATTTGGATAAAGTCAAGGGGTCTGAATACTTTCCGAATGCACTCTATATGGAAGTAGTTTAGTGCCTAAAATAAGGGGTTAAATACATGTAAAGAAAGAAATATAGGACAGACACTTCAGAACAAACTTTCTTTTGATTAATTCATTAAATTTTTACTCTCTTTATCCATGTATGAGGCTGTTATTCAATGCGTTTCTATGGACTAATAGCAGTAAGGCCAAATTCAATGTTTAATCAAATAAAATGCAAAATCAAATAACTAAATAATCCTTTGTATGACCATCTTAAAACAAATCCATACGTTAGCTCAGTAGAACCCTTCCCCCCCCGGCTTAGACTATAGAGTCTAAACTAGTCTATAGGCCTGAGTACAAAGTGATGCCAGGCCAGAGCTGTGTGTCAGTGGGTGGTAGAGCGCAGAGGGGCTGTTTGTGTTTGAGTGAGAGCACAAAGTGCAGATTTACACTGCTCCAGGGGATTGTGGCCGGGTGGTATCAGAGCACTCTGCTTCCCCTCCAGCTAATTCTATCATTTATCAGAGCGTCAGTCAGTCCATTAGGGCCGGGCTGAGGCTGGCTGGGTGGGACTGACGGGGACGGGGGGTATATGAGCCCAGCCCATTAGACTTCACTGGGGTGAGAACACACAACAGCCAGACTACATCTCACACAGCCCCACTGTCAGCATGGAGACCACAGGCAGGGGCAGCGTGTTCCAGCACTGACCACACGCGGTCACCACAACCATGCTCAGCATAATGCTGCATGGCAGACTGATCGATACAGCAGAGCAGAGTAGACCCAGATCAACACGGCAGGCCAGCCCTGAAACAGGATTATACCCTGCCTAGTAAACAAAAGCATTACTGTGTATTATCAAAATCCCAATATCCTTATTGTGTACCATCAGTAGCCTATCCATTAAGTAGTTGAGTACATAGAACTTCACATTCATTGTTGCCCCAAACAGGGACTCAGGCACCATTCCCCTTCCAGTGGGCCGGCCCGGACCCCATTCCAAGCCCACTAGCACAGCCCTTACACCACACATCAACATTGTTTACACCATGTCATCAATATCCACTCCCTCCTGCCAAACCCAGGAGAGTGCCCTGTGATAATTCTCTCACCAGCAAGCCTTCAAAGGCCCCTCTGACACTAACCAGAGAACAAGAGGAATGTGAGAGAGGAGAAGGAGAACCTCCGTTATCAACTCAATATCTCCCTCTAGTGTTCATAAAGTGTGGTGCTCTGCAGTGCCTCCAGTTGCTCATATTTTTGTTGTCAAGGACCCTGTTGATGTAGATTACATTTGACAGGGGTGTTTAGGTTTTGGGTCACAACTTAAGGTCCAGAGCCCTACCTTACACTCCACCACACTCTGATCTGATTCACAGGTGACATAGATCTCGTCAACGGCCCGCCGCAGGTTGTCGAAGAGGAAGGCCCAGTATCGTGCTCGCAGGTCCACCTTGCGCGGCTGCCTGGCTTTGGAAGGGCTCTTTTCTGCTCCCTTGTCAAGCAAGGCCCCGGCTGTGCTCTTGCTGTCCAGGCCTGTATTCTGTAGAGACAGCAGAAGGGGAGACAAAGCATAATGTTGAGACAAATAACAGGATGTTGCTAGGTCTACAATGAGCTCTAGTTGTACAGGTGCTTATATAGCAGTGAGCAAACTATTTCATCCATCTTTAGGTTTTATTATTTCATAAAGGAAGCAAAATTAGAACATGTATGTAAGCTAATATTAAAAGATGACAATATGCACACCTGTTTCTTATTCCTATGCAGTCCAGAGTTATTTCTCTGATTCCTCAAATTGGTGTTTGTATGGGTCTTGGACTTCCCTGTGAAACATAAAAAAATGAAAAACATTGACATTCAGAAGAACAGACTATTAGTTCTAAAAGACCCACATGGCTTTTACATTGATCTGGTCACCCTTTGTTTAGCCAAAGATGGAATATGGCCTGAGGGAGTAACAAAACATAAAAGTACAGAACCGCACACGCACAATACAGGCTGACCCAAAGCCCCGCAAGAGAAAAGAGAAAGCGATCTCTCTCTCCCCCCTCTCTCACGCTGTACTCTGCCCAACATTGTCAGAGTAGGTAGCATTCCCAAATACTGTGGGAAAACAACCCTGTTACAATGACCACAAGGCTGTGAGCATGAGCAGGTTTCATCTGTGATACCAATAACATATTTCTTGTTTGTTGTCGAGTTACCCATTGCGGAACCCATCCAGACAGTTATGAAATATTCAACCAGTGTTCAATCAAAGGACTAACTTGGTTAATTGGTGTGTGTTCCTAATCATGATCAATCATGTTTAAAAGTTAGCAAACTGATTGTTTTCTGTCAATCCATTGAACATTCCTCCACTACTAGTGGGTGTGAAGCTCATTAAATCGGAGTCATATTGATATTTTATTTTATTTTTATCTGACGAGGGACCAGTGAAATGACAGAGTTCTTTTTTCCCCCTTTTTTTTGGGGGGGGGTGGATCAGCTTAATAGTGCAGATATATTGTATCTTCTATCAATGTAATTGTCTGCATCACTTCCAATCCCCCATGTTTTTTTATATATATACTCCCCTTTATTACTTTTCAACCCCGCCATCCTTTCCCTACTTGGAGTAAATTAGTGAACAACATTGCCCAGGCCTCTACTTCCGGTCTATACTTACTATCTACACCTTATGGACAGAGTTAATTTTACAATAATTCTATTATATATATATTTTTTATTTTATTTTTTTGCTCCTGAACTTCTTCTACTCTCAACCTCTCCAATCATTTTCATGATGTCCATCCGGTTTGCTTCTATATGCCATATCTTTCTAACTGTGCTCTTTCCCAAAAGCTCCCAACCTACAACCTATATACTTATTATGGACACAGTATGCTTACATTATTAGTTATCTTTGTTATTATTTGTTATTAGTCCCATCCTTCAACTCTATTCAATACCTCCCATCTATCTCTTAACACCATCCATATAGGATTTCTATTTGCCATATATATTTCAACCGTACTGTGATGTTTTACAAAAGTTCTGAACCTTTCTATTCTCATTGCTTCTACAGATTGTGAATTAAAAATAAACATTTTTGCTAAAAGTATTATTATATTATTGATCGATTGACTATGACTTTTCAGATCACCCAGTAATGCTATCTGCAAGGTTAGTTCCAGGTAAATATTGCAATCCTTTAGCCATTCCTGGACCTGTGTCCAAAAACAAGCTACAAATGGACAGAACCAAAACAAATGATCTAATGATTCTGTCTCTTCACAGCAAAAGTTCATCTTGACACCTGTTTTGATTCCAGTCGTCTCAGGGAAGGGAAATATATGAAGGCCAATGCATAGAATAACTGAGAGGTGAATCAGAAGTTGTCATTTTGTTATCGGTGATACTGTATTACAGCCAAGAGAGTGTCTGGATTCGCGTGACCTTTCCCCACCACAATGCCCTCTGCTGTGCCCAAGTTCATTGATTCCTCTATTCCAAATAGATAAAGGGTTTGATTCATGCACTGTAAGTCAATATCAGCACCTGCCACTGGAGGTGAACATTGGTATTTGCCCATCCAATCAATTCTATACCCACCAAGACAACAAAAATTTATCTGGTGAAAAACACAATGGAATCTACTTCAAAGAAACACGCATCTGTGTTCATAAAAAGACTAATTCCTTTTACATCAGACTGATACATACAGTATTATAAGTCCCATTTGAGCGTGTGTGTGTATATATTTTGACGTCACTGGCCTTCCTCCTCTTTGTTCTCCAGAGGAACACTCCAGGCGATGAGATTTCGAGCAGCACGGCCCTCTTCTGCCACAATCTTCCTCACCTTGTCATGGCTGTTTGACCGCTGAAAGGACGCCTGCAGACAAAATGGGGATTACATCAAATGGTACCAAATACCAAAACCTAACTTCACATGAAGGCATATAACCCAGCTGTAGGACTTCATGGATGAGTTCATAACATTGACAACACGCTGTGGATGAAAACTGGTGCTTTGTTCAGAACAGTAGATTAGTAGTACATTTTTATGCAGCATAGTTGCCCTACATGTAGGCTAGGCTACACTAGAGAATGTGCACTGGTGTTTTATGGCCAAGGAAACCTGCCCCAAACAGGTCATATAAAGCATGTGATGTTTTGAACAGCACAAGACAACGTGGCTCTTCACACCTGCGTGTTATGTTATGGTGCTTGGTAACAGGAGATAGACACATAGGTTATGGGTTTAATTAACATGGGGGCATCAAATGTCATAAATAAATGCAGAGTACTGTGTTGTAATAGAGACGTCTCTGAACCCTGGGCCCTGGCTTCTGCCTGGGCACCGGCCTCTCCCTGGGCACCTCAAGTGACATTGAGTTAGTCATGCAAGTTGAGCGGATGCCAAAACCTCTTGCTCGCTCCTCTCTTTACCTCTCCCTCGCACACTCACACACCAATGCGCATGTGCACAAACACACACATATTTTGCATATTTTCCAAATACAGAATAGAGTGGATTTACAGCGACACTATTTCGAGTTTAAATGCAAAATAATCTCCCGGTGGATAACAAAGTAAAATCTACTGGTAACCCAATTAGACTAAAAATTGCTACCTGAATTTGGACTTACTTATCAAAATCGGGACTTGAACCAGACTCACGGTTCTCTGCATTCTATCCGTAATAGCAACCGAGTCATGTCATGAGACAAATTGTTCTATCTCGAGTCTCAACTGTCACTGCCATTCACAAAGATTACAACAAAATAAATTACTTCCATGACACTGTTCAAAGAAACGAATTAGAACAACACTAGCATTACCGTTTATCTACCATATGAAGTGTTTGACAATACAGAGGTACTTCTTTCTTTTAATCAAGCCCATGGTATCTCTTCTGTGTGAAACTCCCACACTATAGTATCCTAGGATGCTGACAGAATAGGCTACATGCTCATTTGACTCATTAGGTTTTACACATGCATAAACAGCAAGCAGTGTCCTGGTCTGCTACCATTTCATGTCCTTCTGGAATATTCACAATTGACTTACTTTGAGTGAGCAAAAAAATATCCTTTACATATAAGATCCGTTCTATTACCATAGAAGAGCATAAGGACAATAGGATCAAACACCAACATCACTGAGGCTGCACATCAAACAGAGCAGCCAAACTCCACTGAAAATTAACAAATAGCAAGCTAGGTTACCATCATAGCAGTAAATATTTACACTGTGTTTCCTGGGCTTGGCAGCCATCTGATGAGGGATCACTCTTGACTTGCAGGAAGCCTATAGTCTTGACTGATGGCTGCCTAGCTGTTCAGCCGGAGGCAGGCAAGGCTTACAGAAAGGCTCTCCTGATCCACTTAATCAGCTGCTACCACCTGTCCTTGACTATGGAAGCCAGTACAGGTTGTTTTTGGAGCATGTGTTATGCTAACTGGTTTACAGACTGAGCCTCTACATGTGCACAGGAAAGAGCCAGTCCTGAGGAGCAGGTGCAGGGTTTTCCTTCTAAAAGCAGGTCTACAAACAGACGCATGCAGAAAGAGAGTGGGAAAGAGACAAAGATTAGAAGATACATACAGAATAGAAGTAGAGTCTGTAAGCAGGTTCCTCGTCCTTATCCGCCCCTGACATACTTTTGCAGCCCACTTCAGCAACCTGTTTCCCCTCGTCTGCATTGCCACTTGTGCTAGGTGACATAGTCATCCGACAGCAGGACCAAAATAGACTGTATGTAGCTCGAACCCTTATAGCAACTTGCCCAGCTGTGTCAAGTACTCCAATGGTGATTGAGTGAGCCGGGTGCTTAGCGGGATGATGGTCCTTTCACCCCGTCTGCTGTCTGTAATCAGTGCTGAGCTCTGAGCTGAGCTAGCAGCCAGCCACCACCGTGCTGCAGACCACTGCTGCTTTTCTGCCTGCCGGCTCTCCTCTCCTCTGCACTGCTTTCTGTATTTACAGCTTCTCTCCTCTTCTGTCATCTCACAGCGCTGCATCGCAGCCCCCTCTCACATTTACATTTACATTTTAGTCATTTAGCAGACGCTCTTATCCAGAGCGACTTACAGTTAGTGAGTGCATACATTATTATTTTTTGGTTTAAAAAAAATCATACTGGCCCCCCGTGGGAATCCCTCCCTCTGCCACAGCACTGCGCAGTCATGTGGTATTGGAACTGACTTTAAATATTTCCTGTATATAGTATGCTTACTTAATTATGTATTTCATATTTCTTATTTTGCGTGTTTTTTTTCTAGTAATACATTGTTATTGATTATTGCATTGTTGGGTTTTGAGTTCGCAAGAAAGGCATTTCACTGTACTTGTGCATGTGACATTAAAACTTGAAAATTAAAACTTGAAATGTGCATGCACACAGCAGGCCTGCCCCTCAGCCTGTCCTCCGCTGCCAGTGATGTGTGTAACTGCAGGCTCAAGGAGTGTGCTAATGGTAGCTTGCATTATCCAGATAGGCTGAGGCTCAGCAGCATCCGATTGGACTCGGCAATGGATGAATCATACAAGGCTGGAAGACAAACACAAACCCACATGTTCCCCCTGCAACTTTGTGCCAAATGAGTAGTTTCACAATAAACGTTGTTACTAGCGTATGAGGTCTGCAGCAAGAGATTTCATGTGATAGCAGGGTTTCTTTTTGAAAACACCACTTTGCCTAAAAATCAACATGTTGGTGTCATCAGCAATGGAAGAGATGCTTAACTGGAACTATTAAGAATTGTTACTTTTTGTCTGAGTAATAACCTGAGCTCACCCATCTCTAACAATAACCTCCATAGCTGCAATGAATAGCCTTGTATTTTCTAATGACTGACATAACACTACATGCACAGAGAATAATTTGAATGTTTGAATTCTATCAACTGGCATATTTTATCACAGCTGACAATGTATTGCCACATGTCGACAAAGCATTGCATCCCTGTAGCTCAGCTGGTAGAGCACGGCGCTTGTAACGCTAAGGTAGTGGGTTCGATCCCCGGGACCACCCATACACAAAAAAAAATGTATGCACGCATGACTGTAAGTCGCTTTGGATAAAAGCGTCTGCTAAATGGCATATTATTATTATTATTATTACTGTATTTTGGCAGGCCACTGTAATCAATACTTACAAATTATATAGTATGCATGCTGTGTGATGGCATCCTATATGCAGTGAGTATACAAAACATTAAGAACACCTGCTCTTTCAATGACAGACTGACCAGGTAAAAGCTATGATCCCTTACTGATGTAACTTCTTAAATCCACTTCAATCAGTGGAGATGAAGGGGAGGAGACAGGTTAAAGAAGGATTTTTAAGCCTTGAGACAATTGACACATGGATTGTGTATGTGTGCCATTCAGAGGGTGAATGGGCAAGACAAACGATGTAAGTGCCTTCGAACGGGGTATGGTAGTAGGTTCCTGGCACACCGGTTTGTATCAAGATTTACAACGTGGTCTCCCGAGTGGCGCAGCGGTCTGAGGCGCCACTACAGCCTGGGGTTCGACCCCGGCCGTGCCCGGGAGCTAAATATTATTAGGAACGTGTTCCTAATGTTTGGTATACTCAGTGTTTAATTGAGAGGTGGCTAGCCGGTTACCAGCCAAGTTAGTTAGCTAACTAGTTAATACGTTCATATTTGATGGCTATCTGAACGCGGTCTTACTTTGCAGGTCATAGTTACATTATACAGTACAACTTGAAAATAGAGCTAGCTACATTACCTTCAAGGCAACGGTTATGGTAGTATTCCTGCTTTTGCCTCCTCCATGCGAGGACCCAGAGCTGTTGCTGCCAGACCTCTCCCTCCCGTCCCCGCCTTGTCCAATTCTAATGCCGAGTCGGTGCTGACCACCGCCACGCCGTCGTCCATCGTTGCGACTGTCTTTTGACATGTACGCAAATGTAATTCAATTATCAGGGTAAACGCTAAACGTCTTTGAAAATGAGCTAACTTGTCGTGTTTTCTGTGTTGATGGAAACGATATAAAACACCACTGACAGATATAATCCACAAAGCATTTTGCCGGAAGTGTATGATTAAATGTATGACAGACACAGACACTATCCAATCATTAGTTTGTTAGGCGGACACTGAAGAAATATAAACCAATCACAAAACACAGAATTGGGGCTAGGGGTGGGACTTAAACTTTCAACCATGTCAACCAAATAAATGGGCGGGATAGAAGGATGAAGTAACATTTTTTGTGAAGTCTATCTGCTCGTGTCCTCTTGCTCCTGGAGTCCTCAGCATTATTGGACATTACTCCAATTTTAACCCAAACTTTGCGAGCTGGAGCGAGGAATTTGCACAATCAAAGGTTTGTTTACGACATAATCTTCTCCTAAAATAACCAGGAAGTCGCTCAGCTAACCTTACCAAACGTCTGACTTCAGTTCAGAATCCTCAGTTTTGTCAGACATTCATTGTCAACAAATCAGTTTATTTTAGGAAAATTCGCAGCAGTATTAGCTAGCTAACCCTAGCTAGTTAGTTTCCTAGTAACCTACATCAGCCAAGTAAGCTTAGGCCTACTAAGCTTACTAGGGGGGGGTTCAATGACTGACAGCAAAACTTTGGTTGATAAATAGCTAACGTTAGTCGTTAGCTAGCTAGCTAGCTACAGTACTGTATTGTTGTAGCCCAGACTGTCAAGTCTCTTTAATGTCGACCACCACCAGGGAGCGCTATTGTCTTCGCTTTTCATACAGTGAGTTAGTAGTAGTAGAACCAGAACCATACAGTACATCAGTGATATGTGAAATAAATGTTAGATTAATTCTTAAGCTATATTATTCTTTAAGCTTACCAAAGCATGCTAAAATTATAACATAGTTTTTTTCTCCGTCATAGATGGAATACTCAGTTTTACCCATTGCATTGCTTGTAATGCACTATGCCTTTGGAGAGAGCTCCCACAATCATGACGATCATTATGTGGGTCATCAGCACAACCCTGAGCACAACATGGATCTCCTATTGGGAACTGAGGTTGTAATTTCTCTCCATCATCTGATTAATGTCCCCTTTCAGTCATATTCACTATCTCACCATTTCTATAACTTGTGTTTTAGGACAGATATGAAATAAAGAAACTTAGTCCAGCTGAGCAAAGGAAAAAAATTATGGAAATCCTGAAGAAGATTGATAAAGATTCTGACAAACATTTAACCTCAGGTAAAAAACAACTACTTTGTCTTAAGATTTAGTTTGACTTTCAGATGGACAATGAATCCCACATTGTTCAAACAAATTCACGCAGTTGATATAATGGTATGGAATGGATACTGTATGTGTAATCTACTGCCTGTATGTGTAATCTATTGCCCCTACAGAGGAGATCACACTATGGATTCAACATGTCTACAGGAAATACGCATTGGATGATGCAGCGGAGCGCTTCCCTGAATTTGACACCAACAACGATGGTGTTGTGTCGTGGGAAGAATACAACATGGTTGTCCATGAACGAGTCATTAATATTGATGAGAATGCTGTTCTGGAGGATCCAGAAGAAGAGTCTCTCAGATTTGTATGATCATCTTAGTTGTACCAGTTAGCCTTTATTTTATTGTTGACAACATATTATGGATCACACATGCTCTACACGTCACAGTACTTATCAATCTTTTCCTTTTTAGCTCCACTTAAAGGAAAAGAAGCGCTTTGACTTTGCTGATATGGATGGCACACCAGGCCTTAACCTAACTGAGTTTCTTGCATTTACACACCCATCTGAAGTGGATCACATGGCTGTAAGACATCTCTACACAAAACAAGCTGTTTACATTTGTATTTAGATGAGAAGAATGAAACGTTTGGTGTGGTAATATTTTGCTGTTCATTTTTCTTTTAGGATTTTGCCATTGAAGATGTGTTGAGTGAATATGACATGGATAAAGATGGGTTCATCAGTCTAAGTGAATTTATTGGAGATATTCGAACTAATGGTAAGCACAGAATAATACTTTCTGTGTTTTTCTCAATATACTATGATATAATGGTTTGTAAGGGCTGAGTTGGCTTTCCTGCTTTAGTAATGTGTGTGTGTGTACTTCAGAGGAGGATGACCCATCAAAGTGGGAGATTGAGGAAACTGTCCGCTTTGACGACCTCTATGATCAAGACAAGGATGGCAAGTTGAATCGAGAGGAACAGCTCCGCTGGGTGGCCCCTAACAGCTATGGCTCTGCACGGGAGGAGGTGAGTAACCACTAAACTACTGTGTATCTGCATTACATTGACAGCCATGCCTCCCTAGGGTGCTCTAGGTGTGACATTTCTAATTTGTTTATAACATATTAGTTCCTGTGAAGTGCAGTCAGGGTATGGAAACATTTATACATTGGTTGGTATGAATGGTATCCTCATTGAAAGTGGGTGTATCTATCAGTTCTCTTCAGTTTGCTCTAATTATTTTGCTTTGCTCTCATGTTTTAACAGGCTATTCACCTCATCAAAGAAATGGACCAAGATGGTGATGGGAGACTGTCAGAGTCAGAGGTTTTGAAAAATCAAGAAATTTTTATGAATAGTGAAGTAACAGACTACGGAAGACAACTGCATGTGTCACACGACGAATTATAACAGTGGATTTTTGTTTTACTATGATGCACACTACCGGTCAAAAGTTCTAGAACACCTACTCATTCAAGGGTTTTTCTTTATTTTTTACATTGTAGAATAATAGTGAAGAAATCAAAACTATGAAATAACACATATGGAATCATGTAGTACCCCAAAAAGTGTTAAACATATCAAAATATATTTTATATTTGAGATTCTTCAAAAAGCCACCCTTTGCCTTGATGACAGCTTTGCACACTCTTTGCATTCTCTCAACCAGCTTCACCTGGAATGCTTTTCCAACAGTCTTGAAGGAGTTCCCACATATGCTGAGCACTTGTTGGCTGCTTTTCCTTCACTCTGCGGTCCAACTCATCCCAAACCATCTCAATTTGGTTGAGGTTGGGGGGATTGTGGAGGCCAGGTCATCTGATGCAGCACTCCATCAATCTTCTTCTTGGTAAAATAGCCCTTACACAGCCTGGAGGTGTGTTGGGTCATTGTCCTGTTGAAAAACAAGTGATAGTCCCACTAAGCCCAAACCAGATGGGATGGCGTATCGCTGCAGAATGCTGTGGTAGCCATGCTGGTTAAGTGTGCCTTGAATTCTAAATAAATTACAGTGTCACCAGCAAAGCACACCATAACACCACCTCCTCCATGCTTTATGGTGGGGAATACACATGCGGAGATCATCCGTTTAACCACACCGCATCTCACAAAGACACGGCAGTTGGAACAAAAATCTCCAATTTGGACTCCAGACCAAAGGACACATTTCTACCTGTCTAATGTCCATTGCTCGTGTTTCTTGGCCCAAGCCAGTCTCTTCTTCTTATTGGTGTCCTTTAGTAGTGGTTTCTTTGCAGTAATTCGAGGCCTGATTCACACGGTCTCCTCTGAACAGTTGATGTTGAGATGTGTCTGTTACTTGAACTCTGTGAAACATTTATTTGGGCTGCAATTTCTGAGGCTGGTAACTCGAATGAACTTATCCTCTGCAGCAGAGGTAACTCTGGGTCTTCCATTCCTGTGGCGGTCCTCATGAGACCCAGTTTCATCATAGCACTTTATGGTTTTTGTGACTGCACTTTCAAAGTTCTTGAAATGTTCCGGATTGACTGACCTTCATGTAATGATGGACTGTCGTTTCTCTGTGCTTATTTGAGCTGTTCTGGCCATAATATGGACTTGGTATTTTGCCAAATAGGGCTATCTTCTGCAAACCCCCACTACCTTGTCACAACACAACTGATTGGATCAAACGCATTAAAAAGGAAAGAAATTCCACAAATTAACTTTTAAGAAGGCACACCTGTTAATTGAAATGCATTCCAGGTGACTACCCCATGAAGTTGGTTGAGAGAATGCCAAGAGTGTGCAAAGCTGTCATCAAGGCAAAGGGTGGCTATTTGAAGAATCTCAAATATAAAATACATTTTGATTTGTTTAACACTTTTTTGGTTACTACATGATTCCATATGTGTTATTTCATAGTTTTGATGTCTTCACTATTATTCTACAATGTAGAAAATAGTAAAAATAAAGACAAACCCTTGAATGAGTAGGTGTTCTAAAACTTTTGAACGGTACTGTATATATATTATTTCTGTTAATTATGTTCAAGAAAGGTCTTATTGATTTACATGTAACATTTCTGAATGGGTTGATTGTATGATCATTTTCCTATAGAATACATATTTAGATGTTTTTAGGGTATTCATCTATCAAATGACAACCAACTTCAATGTTATCTTGGATGCAGGCTGTCTGTGTTAGCTGACATCACACTGAAGCTCTTCCTCATTTGAGTCAAACTAGTGAACTTCAAGCCCTGGGTACTGACTGAGTGTTTCCTGTGTGTGGCATTATAATTTTCACTGGCTTTGACCCAGCCTCAAAGTGCTTTCTTTACTGAATGCCCGCACAGAGGATATCACATTTGATCTACTGCTGAGATGGCTTTACAATTCAAAGATGCGTTTTGGGTGAGTTCATATTAACGTCTTGACTAACCACTTTGATGCTCAATCTATATGGATAAGATAAGGTTTAGGTAATTTTTTAGAAATGCACTGCACAGAGGCTATCAGCAGATACAGCTAAATTATTTACTGCATAATCCAAACTGTTATTGTGGTGACAACACCTGAGGCAGTACCCCTGCCTCAGAGGCAGCCCTTTACTAAATTAAACTTAGTATCTTTCATTGGCTCTCAGATTGTCATCTTTACAAATGTGTTTGTTCTATGGCCTTACAGCCAATTTCATTATTTTTCTAAACATACAAACTTTATTTAATATGCTATGATGAAGAAATGTACTATCTAAATAACTAGGCCCTCACAACATTGTTGTAACTTATTATCTTGTCTGGATTGCTATTTTCTGAGTGCCAGTACCTCTATGCTGAGCTTCCTGTAAAACAGGCCAGGCTCTTGTCTCTTTCTGTATTTGATCTTCTGACTGTGATGCATTGTCAGAACTGTAATCTACAAAACTACAGACAGCTTCTGGGTTGATTTGCATAGGAGGCTCGGTGCAATAATCCCCTTCTAACCTTTGCAAATAAAAATTTACATATTGTGCATGTTTTCTTATTACTTTGTATGAAATAGTTTGCCATTGAATTATGTTTGATATTGTATAATAATTGTGCAATACAAATACCAGTATTTGGCATTCTGTATTGTACATTTATTTATACATGTTTTACTTCACATAGTACACAATCATGTATAAGCCCAAGTTCAGCTAACAGACGACAGTCAATGGTTTGATGTTGATACATGAGGCAGTTGACAGTCGAATAATTTCTGTTGCTGCTAACTAAGTGATTTTTATGACCAAGCTACTGTTTATGGCTGTTTTCCTGTGAAAACTGGGTGGTATGTACTGCAAGGTATGAGTGATACAGTGTGGGCCCAGCAACATCTCCACTGAAGGCCTACTACAGTATGTGATATATGTCATTTAACTTATAACTTTCACCTGCACTGGCATTCCATACTATTATGTACACGGCATCCATGAAAGCATTTTGTTTTGCCGAACACCATAAAGCTGTTAAAGTAAAAGTGTCAATAGCTGCTGTGGCTGAAAGATGAATATTTGCATCTATTTTTTGAAAATGACTTTCTTTGGACCTTTGTATTAAAACTTAGCATTTTCTTTTCTTTGAAGTTGTTAAGATAATGCTATGATTCTGTATGGTTGTAGGGAGTGGATTTCATCAGTAATGTGGGATATGAGGCTCTCATCCAGAGACTCTGTGAGGGTCGACGGATGTGCAAAGACATGGAGGAGCTCTTGAAGATGAGGTAATTGGTGGCAGCCAAACTGTTCCTACATTGTGTATGAAGTTATATTATGTCACAATTATAAGTTAAGAAATATTGTGTTTCCATTGGATAGGGCATCCGCAGAAGAGAGATATGGCAAGGAGTTGGTGACGATTGCACGCAAGGCAGGGGGTCTCTGTGAGATCAGGTGAGTGACTCTGCTCTCAGAATTCATGGAAACTAAATGCCTTACGTTTTGGTAGAGAGAGTGGTGTGTGTTATAATGTATTGTGTAAAATAAATGTATTTGCACTTTGTCACAGTTATATTCTTTTCACAGCTCTTTGAGAGCATCCCTTGACCAACTCAAAGTCCGTAAGTAGAACATAATTTTAATCGTCCACTTGTAGCTATGCAGTTGAAACACCTGTAAGCAGCACTACTTCATCCCAGATTTGTAATATGTTACCTCATGTTTTGTAGAAATTGAGAACATTGGGAACCTACACATACAGCTCTCTGGGATGTTAAAGGAAGAAGTCAAGAGGATGGAACAGTTCAGGGAGCGACAGAAAGAGCAGAGAAAAAAGGTTTTGGTTTGAAATGTATAGCATTCACCCACATTAATGCTATAAATAGCATTCACCTACACAAGGTCTAAAGACAATCTATTGTTAGTGCATTGTGGTGAATATCTACATAGAGTATGTTGTACTATTAAATCATATACTTTGATTTCAAATGTTTTTGCTGATTTGCATTGCTGTTAAAGGACAGAAAGAGTATCAGTGGTTAGATGAGATCAATCCACTATTGATGTGTAATTGATCAGCTATATGTGTATCAGTCACAGCATGTTTCTCTCTGTCTCAGTTTGAAGGCGTCATGGACAAGGTTCAGAAGATGAAGGTGTCTTTATACAAGAAAACAATGGAGGTGAGCACAGTTCCTACCAAAAAGCTTCTTAATTTCTTTATCTGTATGCTCATTTGTGTGACGTGAAGCCCTATTCCGTATAGTTGTAGGTAGGGCTTGATGCCTGGGCTTTGAGACCTTCACATGTCTCAAAGTAACTCAATGTGTCAGGATTATTTTAGCTTTACTTTCAAAGGTCCTTTGTTTTTCTATCAGCCCAAATTATATACCGGTAAGGAATTTGTTATGCACACGACTAATAGGTTGCACCACCAAGAGCATACAGATAGAAAGGGAAACAAAGAGGGCCATTCCGTGGCAAGCTGAGGAGGTGCCTCTGAAACGCAACTATCAGCTCAGGAAATCCTGCTCTATTTGTTTTATTTTAGTCTCCCTGCTTGCACATGCATCTCTCGCACTTGATTGCACTTTCTGTTCCTTATCTGGCAGCAGCTTCATGTAAAGTGTCAAATAATAATAGCTGTCTTGATGTAATAATTGGAGGCAAGTAGGGCTGTGGCAGTCATGAAATTTCGTCAGCCGGTGATTGTCAAGCCAATAACTGTTGGTCTCATGGTAATTGCCCGTTAATTAACATAAACACATTTAGCATCTCCTGGCTTCCACACATAGCCTACAAGCCACCGATGCAGACCTTTGGAACATCTACATTTTAAAAAACTATTATAAATCCATGTAATATAGCCTACACCTTCACAATAAATCCATTATTTATTTTAGACAGGTCTAAAGAAGCATGATATGTAGAAAATGTAGAATAGCATACTCTGAGTTGTCCTTATGTTAGGTCCTGATCTGGCTATGCCAAATGGTTGTGGGCTACACTAGTTCATTTAGCAGACAAGATTTGCTTAGAATTCCGTGGCATTATTTGATATTATTTTATAATATGAAGAAAACAATTTAACAAAGCTGAATAAAATAGAAAGGATATTTTCTCCAAACGATTTGAGTGCCACATGCGGCTATTCTTTGTTGAGCGGTTAACAAAGAAATAGGTAATCATATATGCTTAATTTAGCGTTATTAATGTAATTTTTGTTGTTCTACAAACGTTGGACTATATGTTTAGATTTTTTATACATTGTAAGGCTGCATGATGCGACTAATGATGATTTGAAAAAAGTTGCTTGAAAGGCATGAGCTCTGCTTTGTTTTTTGTGCAGGCTGTGCACAATTCATCAGTCTCTCATTCACAATTTGACAAGCACTTGATAATGCCTCAAATTTCACAGCGGCATTCCCTTTGTGTGGCCGTAATGCACCCTAAAAAAATCCATGCCTTTTGCGGCCTGTGGCCGTTGTGCCCTTGGCCCAGAGTGCTGCACCTCTCACTCACATGGCTCTCCATCACGTGATCGGGTATTTCTCACAGGCTACAAGTGAAGACAGACACATCCGGGACGCAACTGCGCGCGTCCTTATCCAATTCCGAGGTGCATATTGAAGATATTGGAAGAACTGTCCACATTTACTTTTCGTCAGCCAACAGGATGAGTAGGCCTAACGAACAGCAAAAGCCCTAGCCTATGTCAATCTACAATCCCCCATAGTACAAAAGTTGACCTATTCTATTCTGTGTGAGAAATAAATATTCCAAACATAGTCTGGGACAATTGTGGGATGCGATAGATCCCAAATTAATACAACCATTAGCATAAAGAAAACGCAATGTGGCTGATGCAACAGATCAGAACGTTTAGATTAAAATGTTGATAAACTATTAGTCTTTTTTTTTCAGAAGATAAGCGCAGCAATGCGCACACGGCAGTAGGCCATAAGCACGAATGTTCCATTAGCAGGAAAACACCATTATCAAAAGTGACCGCAAATGCGATTATGCATGTAATGCTTTTATTACAGTGAGGGAAAAAAGTATTTGATCCCCTGCTGATTTTGTACGTTTTCCCACTGACAAAGACATGATCAGTCTATAATTGTAATGGTAGGTTTATTTGAACAGTGAGAGACAGAATAACAACAAAAAAATCCAGAAAAACGCATGTAAAAAATGTTATAAATTGATTTGCATTTTAATTAGGGAAATAAGTATTTGACCCCTCTGCAAAACATGACTTAGTACTTGGTGGCAAAACCCTTGTTGGCAATCACAGAGGTCAGACGTTTTTCTTGTAGTTGGCCACCAGGTTTGCACACATCTCAGGAGGGAGTTTGTCCCACTCCTCTTTGCAGATCTTCTCCAAGTCAGTAAGGTTTCGAGGCTGACGTTTGGCAACTCGAACCTTCAGCTCCCTCCACATATTTTCTATGGGATTAAGGTCTGGAGACTGGCCAGGCCACTCCAGGACCTTAATGTGCTTCTTCTTGAGCCACTCCTTTGTTGCCTTGGCTGTGTGTTTTGGGTCATTGTCATGCTGGAATACCCATCTACGACCCATTTGCAATGCCCTGGCTGAGGGAAGGAGGTTCTCACCCAAGATTTGACGGTACATGGCGCCGTCCATCGTCCCTTTGATGCGGTGAAGTTGTCCTGTCCCCTTAGCAGAAAAACACCCCCAAAGCATAATGTTTCCACCTCCATGTTTGACGGTGGGGATGGTGTTCTTGGGGTCATAGGCAGCATTCCTCCTCCTCCAAACACGGCGAGTTGAGTTGATGCCAAAGAGCTCGATTTTGGTTTCATCTGACCACAACACTTTCACCCAGTTCTCCTCTGAATCATTCAGATGTTCATTGGCAAACTTCAGATGGGCCTGTATGTGTGCTTTCTTAAGCAGGGGGACCTTGCGGGCGCTGCAGGATTTCAGTCCTTCACAGCGTAGTGTGTTACCAATTGTTTTCTTGGTGACTATGGTCCCAGCTGCCTTGAGATCATTGACAAGATCCTCCCGTGTAGTTCTGGGCTGATTCCTCACCGTTCTCATGATCATTGCAACTCCACGAGGTGAGATCTTGCATGGAGCCCCAGGCCGAGGGAATTTGCGAATAATCGCACCAACTGTTCTCACCTTCTCACCAAGCTGCTTGGCGATGGTCTTGTAGCCCATTCCAGCCCTGTAGGTCTACAATCTTGTCCCTGACATCCTTGGAGAGCTCTTTGGTCTTGGCCATGGTGGAGAGTTTGGAATCTGATTGATTGATTGCTTCTGTGGACAGGTGTCTTTTATACAGGTAACAAACTGAGATTAGGAGCACTCCCTTCAAGAGTGTGCTCCTAATCTCAGCTCGTTACCTGTATAAAAGACACCTGGGAGCCAGAAATCTTTCTGATTGAGAGGGGGTCAAATACTTATTTCCCTCATTAAAATGCAAATCAATTTATAACATTTTTGACATGCGTTCTTCTGGATTTTTTTGTTGTTATTCTGTCTCTCACTGTTCAAATAAACCTACCATTAAAATTATAGACTGATCATTTCTTTGTCAGTGGGCAAACATACAAAATCAGCAGGGGATCAAATACTTTTTTCCCTCACTGTATAAAGGTGCATTTTTATGGTGAAAATTATCTTCCCCAAACTTGAAACTCACGCGCTGCTTACAGTGCCTTCGGAAATTATTCAGACCCCTTGACTTTTTCCACATTTTGTTAAGTTACAGCCTTAACCTAAAATGGATGAAAACATTTAAAAAAGCAATCTACACACAATACCCCATAATCACAAAGCGAAAACAGGTTTTTATAAATGTTTGCAAATTTATTTAAAAAATGAATACATTTTCGATAACATTTGCATTGATGTCAGAGTGATTAGAGGGACAATAGAGTGCTGAGTACCAGGCAGTTAGCAAGTTTGGTAGGCTACTAATGACCATCAGCAGCATCATAGCTTGGATAACCCAAATTACCGTGACTAAACGGTCACGTGGAATTTGACTGCCTTCATTACTCATGGCCGCCGCTGTGGCGGTAATACGGTCTTCGCAACAGCCCTAGAGGTAAGTACATTGTGTAGTATTGTAAACCTGATAACAAGTTCCCTTTCTGTGTGTCCTTTTCCAGTCTAAAAGGTCCTATGACCAAAGGTGCAGAGAGGCGGATGAGGCAGAGCAAGCTGCTGAGAGGTTGAGCAGTGCAGCCACCACCACACCCAAGCAGGCTGAAAGGGTAAATCACTAAACTCTTCCCATCCACACTGGACAACACATCTACTTAACTGACAATGGGAACAAGGCTTAGAAATAGACCATTAAATTGTATGAAATCGTAACATAGTGCTCCCTCTGAGTATTTGTGTAAAATGTAACATACACTAGTTGTAGGTCAGTCTGTAGGCTATATGTTTTGAATTGTAGGAATAATAACAGAGGATGTATATTGCAGTGAATGGTTTGACTTTCATCATAGAGTGAATTTTAACACACATTCTGCACTGTTGCTGTGTGGGGCATGTTCATGGGGATTCCTGCAACCATCCCCTTCAACTGAGTGATGAAATAGAAATTCTGTTCTTTCTGTTTACTGTTTTACCATTTCAAATCAAATGTTATTTGTCACATGCTTCGTAGACAACAGGTGTAGACTAACCATGAAATGCTTACTTACGGGTCCTTTTCCAACAATGCAGTTAAAGACAAATAACATGGCAATATACAGGGAATACCAGTACTGATTTGATGTGCAGGGGTATGAGGTAATTGAGGTAGCTATGTACTTTACATACACTGAGTATACCAAACATTAGGAACACCTTCCTAATATTGAGTTGCACCCATCGCTTTTGCCCTCAAAACAGCCTAAATTTGTCAGGGCATGGTACCTACTAACTACCATACCCCATTCAAAGGCACTTAAATATTTTGTCTTGCCCATTCACCCTCTGAATGGCACACGTACACAATCCATGTCTCAATTGTCTCCAGGCTTAAAAATCCTTCTTTAACCTGTCTCCTCCCCTTCATCTCAACTGATTGAAGTGGATTTAAAAAGTGACATCTATAAGGGATCATAGCTTTCCCCTGGATTCACCTGGTCAGTCTATGTCATGGAAAGAGCAGATGTTCCTAATGTTTTGTGTACTCAGTGTAGAGGTAAAGTGACTAGGCAACAGGATAGATATTAGACATTAGCAGCAGCGTATGTTGCCATACCACGCTGTGATTCAGGCAGTCGAGATGCTCTCGATGGTGCAGCTGTAGAACCTTTTGAGAGTCTGTGGGCCCATGCCAAAATCTTTTCAGCCTCCTGACGGGGAAGAGGCGTTGTGGTGCCCTCTTCACAACTGTGTTGGTGTGTTTGGACCATGATAGATCCTTAGTGATGTGGACACCGAGGAACTTGAAGCTTGCGACCCGCTCCACTGCAGCCCCGTCGATATGAATGGGGACGTGCTCGGCCCTCCGTTTCCTGTAGTCCAAAATCAGCTCCTTTGTCTTACTGACGTTGAGGGAGAGGTTGTTGTCCTGGCACCACACTGCCAGATCTCTGACTTCCTCCCTATAGGCTGTATCATCGTTGTCGGTGATCAGGCCTATCACGGTAGTGTCGTCAGCAAACTTAATGATGGTGTTGGAGCGTGTGCGGCCACACAGTCGTGGGTGAACTATGAGTACAGGAGGGGTTGATGTGAGCCATGACCAGCCTTTCAAAGCATTTCATGGCTACAGATGTGAGTGCTATGGGGCGATAGTCATTTAGACAGGTTACTTTGGCGTTCTTGGGCACAGGGACTATGGTGGTCTGCTTGAAACATGTACTGTAGGTATTACAGACTGGGTCAGGGGGAGGTTCAAAATGTCAGTGAAGACACTTGCCAGCTGGTCTGCGCATTCTCTGAGCACGCGTCCTGGTAATCCGTCTGGCTCATGCATGGTTCAGTGTTGCTTGCCTCGAAGCGAGCATAGAAGGCATTTAGCTCATCTGGTAGGCTCATGTCACTGGGCAGCCGTTAGCTGGGTTTCCCTTTGTAATCCATGATAGTTTGCAAGCCCTGCCACATCCGACTAGTGCCTGAGCCGGTGTACTAGCATTTGATCTTAGTCCTGTTTTGACGCTATGCCTGTTGATGGTTCGTCAGAGGGCGTAACGGGATTTCTTATAAGCATCCAGGTTAGTGTCCCGCTCCTTGAAAGCGGCAGTTCTAGCCTTTAGCTCAGTGTGGATGCTGCCTGTAATCCATGGCTTCTGGTTGGGATATGTACGCACGGTCACTGTGGGGATGACGTCGTCGATGCACTTATTAATGAAGCCGGTGACTGATGTGGTAAACTCCTCAATGCCATCGGATGAATCCCGGAACATATTCCAGTCTGTGCTAGCAAAACAGTCCTGTAGCTTAGCATCCGCTTCATCAGACCACTTCCTAATTGAGTGTGTCACTGGTACTTCCTGTTTGAGTTTTTGCTTGTAAGCAGGAATCAGGAATATAGAGTTATGGTCAGATTTGCCAAATGGAGGGTGAAGGTGAGCTTTGTATGCACCTCTGTGTGTGGAGTTTTTTCCCCCTCTAGTTGCACAGGTGACAAGCTGGTAGAAATGAGGTAAAACAGATTTCAGTTTTCCTGCATTAAAATCACCAGCCACTAGGAGCGCTGCCTCTGGCTGAGCATTTTCTTGTTGGCTTATGGCCCTGTATAGCTCGTTAAGTCTTAGTGCCAGCATCGGTTTGTGGTGGTATATAGACAGCTATGAGAAATATAAATTGGTAAATAGTATGGTCTACAGCTTATCATGAGGTATTCTAACTCAGGCGAGCAGAACCTTGAGACTTCCTTAAAATTAGAGATTGCGTACAAGCTGTTATTAACAAAGAGACACACCCCCACCCTTGAGTTTATGACTCTTGAGCCATGACTCCGTGAAGCATAGGATATTACTGTTCTTCAGGTCCCGTTGATAGAATAGTATCGAACGGAGCTCGTCTAGTTTGTTCTCCAGTGATTGTACATTCGCCAGTAGACAGAGGGTAGAGGCGGTTTATCTTGAAAAAAGAACTACATTATTTCTAATGATGTAATTGGGAGATCATTTCCGTACTCTTTAGTACTGACATTTATGCATTCGTTTCCTGTCAGTGACAGTAACATCCCTGTTCGTTTGCAGATGCTCAACAAGTCTAAGCAGTGCAGGGAGGCAGCAGGAGAGGCAGGTAAGCGATACTAGGCTACTGAGCTCCTATCTTTTCCTGTCGTTGTACTCCAAATAAAGGCAGTCCATGACTTGAAATCAAGATTGTTGAAAAACCATAGCATGATTTGACAGTTTGTTTTTGTCTCCCTTTCATCACCATAATGCTGAGGTTTAACAGAAATGAACTGTTGTAAAAAAAAAAATTTCATCAAGTAATCTTAGAATTTGCTTCCAATTTGCAGATTATATTTCTAAAGGCCATATACACTGAGTGTACAAAACATTAAGAACACCTTCCCCAGGGATGCTGGCCCATGTTGACTCCAATGCGTCCCACTGTTGTGTCAAGTTGGCTGGATGTCCTTTGGGTGGTGGACCATTTTTGATACACACAAGAAACTGTTGAGCGTGAAAAACCCAGCAGCGTTGCAGTTCTTGACACAAACCGGTGCGACTGACACCTACTTCCATACCCCATTCAAAGGCACTTAAATATTGTGTCTTGCCCATTCACCCTCTGAATGACACACATACACAATCCATGTCTCAATTGTCTCAAGGCTTAAAAATCCTTCTTTAACCTGTCTCTTCCCCTTCATCTACACTGATTGAAGTGGATTTAACAAGTGACATCAATAAGGAGTCATAGCTTTCACCTGGATTTACCTGGTCAGTCTATGTCATAGAAAGAACAGGTGTTCTTAATGTTTTTTACACTTAGTGTATATTGTGCCTCCACTGTGACAGAGGATCCAATGAATCTTCAACAATTATTCCAGCACAGGAGTCAATAACTGTGTATTATCTGAATACCACCTTTGCTTCTTTGTCCTCAGAAAAACAATACATGTCAAACATCGAACAGCTAGACAAGATTCGCCAAGAATGGGAAACCACACATGAGAGCACATGTGAGGTACATTGAGGCATATTCTGATGTCATTGCAATGAATGCAAGTTGGATTGTACAGTATGATCTGACAAACTTTTCTTAAATTACGTAAATATTAGCTGTCAGACCAGCTGATGGTCTACAGATTGTTGTAAAAAGGGGTTATCCCCTGCAGGTCTTTCAGCAGCAGGAGGGAGATCGTATCAACATCCTAAGGAATGCCATCTGGGTCCACTGTAACCAATTTTCAATGCAATGTGTCAAAGATGATGAGGTTGGTCAAGTTTTTGTCTTACCAAGCCATACTGTAATCCACAATATCAGTAGCATTAGTCAGCATTTTAAAGCATGGTACCATGTATACCAGTATATAAGACAAATATAGAATGTGTCTCAACTGTATCATATAGTAGCTATAAGACTACTCAGTAAGGCTGATTAGTAATGATGAATGAAGAAAGTAAACTGAATGTGTTTGAGCCGTGCCCAAAATGTACTTTCAGTGTTATGAGGATGTGAGGAAAACTCTAGAACTGTGTGACATCATGGTAGACAACAACTGCTTTGTTGAGATGAAAAGCACTGGCTCAAGTCCACCAGGTAGGTACACTACACCACCAGTCCTGTTTAATGGTTTGTGTACATGAATATGTTCCAGGTCTGAACATTTCAATATTACATCTTTAAATGTCAAAATAGTAAAATATTGATGAAAATATGTGGCCACATTGAGAAATAATATGTTCACCCTTTGTTTGCACTTTGCAGTGCAGCCATGTCTCTGTGATACACTCTTTACTTAGGCTTTGGGTGAGTTTGCTTTGCTGAATGCCTGTGATTTCTCCCCAGATCCCATTGTGTTTGAGAACTACTATGACAGGGAGCCCTGGACAGACACCAATGGCAGTGCCCGCTTTGTAGGAGGAGTTATGAAGAGGTTAGAGATACTAAGAATTGTTTTTGCACTACAAGAATGCACATTTAACTCATCAAAACAACATGTTTACAATGTGAAGCAAAGTAAACTCTGTTTAATTACTTTTAGGTTTTCAAACCTTTTGCAAGGCAACTCTTCGGCTGGCTCTAAAACCAACGTTAATGACTGTTCACAGCCACTAGCCCCACCTACTGGTTTGTATGCTGCTACAATTACTGTAAATTAATAAGTGTGGTACCAATAGAAACCATTTGTGGACAGGGAGAGATAATGTTTTTTCACAGTCATTACATTGTTACTTGTCAGGTAAAAACATATTTGAGACTGAGAAAATAACAATGTATGTTCTCTTTCTATGCCCCCTCATAACAATGCATTGTGTTGATCTTGTTCCAATCATAATGTGAAAACATACAGTAATAGCCCATTACCTGATCATGCAGGTTTTCCATCTAAAACATCCACCTGATTTCAGGTAAAATGTCCCTTGACGCAAAAGTAGCTGTTGCCACAATATTAAGCAGGGTCTGACACTATATCACATCACACTACATTACATGGACTTACTCTTTTAGTTCAGTCAATAGTTGTGGTACTGAGGTTTCAAACTGCCAGTGGTTTGACCCAATAACTGATTAATCTGCTTGCCTCGATGACTTCATGTGTAATCCTTAGCCGACACATCAGATGGAGTGTACGCCTCCATTCCTGGATTTCTGCGAGATGAGCCAACCATCTCAGAGAGCAGAGAGGAGTACCAGGCGCTGTATGACTATGTGGCTCAGGTCAGAATGCTCTGACACCCTATATGCCCGCATTCAACATCTAGGCATACACTAAGAATGAGTGGATTCACGTTTCTGTGACATTTGAACTAAACCTAACCTGTCCTTGTCCGTCTCTAGAGTGCGGATGAGCTGTCCATGTCTGCAGGGGAGACGGTGGTGGTCATTGAGCAGGGTGTGGATGGCTGGTGGACTGTGGAGAGGAACGGCCTGTCAGGACTGGTCCCTGGATCCTATCTGGCCAAATAATGAGCTCCTCTTGGCACAAGTAGTAAGGCTGTAAGCCCGTAACATAGCCCCACCCTGCATATGTCTTAGTTTGACTATATCCTCTAAGCCTAACAGTGCTGATAATGTTAGCGCAGTCTTGGCTATACTGTATGTGTTGTTGAGTGACCTCACTGACCTGAGACCATGGCTTTATCTAATGATGGAGATTATTGACTTATTTGTTGTCAAGATGGAAAGAGATGTGCACTTACCTGTTTTACTTTTCTCTCAAGTCAACAGGCACTAGTTTGTGTTGTTGAACAATCCTACTGTAGCCAGGACAACTGCAAAATAAAGCACTCTAGTTTTGATTTACATTTGGTTGAGTTGTCAACTAAGGTGAATTCAACATGAAATCAACAAAAAATGTCACCCTGTCATTGGATTAACGTTAAAAATTTTAAAAAATCCCTTACGTTGATGACTTTTTGCAAATCCAATCAGTTTTCCACGTTGATTCAATGTCATCATATATAATTTTTGTTGTTGAAATGATGTGTAAACAACTTTGATTCAACCAGTGTTTTGCCCAGTGGGTAGTCACTGACCTATTAATATGCTATAGTATTGAATATCACCGTGTGTGTTTGAGCAACTAATAAACTGTCCACATGCTAACTGTCCAAAATACAATGGCTTAGATCAGGGGTGTCAAACATAAGGCCTGCGGGCTGGATCCGGCCTGCGAGTGGGTCCAATCCGGTCCACAGTTGGTCTTGAGTAAAAAAACAAACATGTTTTTTATTTTTGAGAAATATATATTTTTGGGGCTGGAAAACAAACTCGATATACTTTAAAAAATACTCAAAACTAATCGAAACTGAGTAGAAATTATAATGGATGTACATTAATAGAGTTTCTTGACTGTGTCCAGCACGCAGAAAATCACAGAAATTAAAGCTAGCTAGCCAGTCAGGGAGCATCGGAAATGCCAAAAATGATGGATAGAGAACTATTTTTTTGCAAATTTTGACAGCAACTAAGTATAATACATTTTCAGTGTGGCCCTCAGGACCTTGTTGAAGACCGAATGCAGCCTCTGGGAAAAATTCGTTTGACACCCCTGGCTTAGATGAATGTAGGGTGATATTTCTAATATCTCTTTCTACTAGCATGCTAGCAGATACCCATAGACTTCGAGTCATCGCGCTAAGGCTAATTAACATTGGCTCGCGAAACTACCTCTTAACTTCCTTCATACTAGACACAGAGACATAACAATGGTATCCACTGGGACATAAAAATGGTATCCACTGGTTCATCTGACTCTGGGGAAGTAGATAAAGGGCCTCATTGCCAAAATCCTCAAGTAACCCTTTAAGCGAAAAATTCACCAGAAGCAGGCAGGCAGAGGGAGTCGGGTGGAAAAGACCGGACATGCAGAGCACTGACTGTATGCTAGCAGGATAGTCCATATCTCCAATCATCTTTGCTGATAGCGATGTTGTTTCCATAAGTGGATGAATTGGTCTAATTTAGCATGTAGCCTATGGTAAAGCCTCAACCCTTAGCTACCGCTTCCAAGTCAAATGAGATAAAATAAATGTGAATAATTACATTTGTATTGTTTTGTGTGACTTCAGCGCCAGCGATAAAACGCAAAAATAGAGACACGTTTTAATTGAGCGAGGCGTCAAAGCGGCCAACCTGCCCGCCCGGCTTCGGTTGGGTCATTACAATTCAAAATAATGCATTCTAAAATAAATCTTGCAGGATCACCTTTGGTGAGTTTAGGCCATTAGGGATACTATTCGACTTTGACGATTTAAAATGTATTTATGAAGTAAAGGAATCTGGCTTTGGCCGTGTTTACATAAATATTTTGAAATGTTGGGATGATGACAGCAGTAACTAGCAAATTAAGTTGTCAGTTTTCACAAAGGTTAGCCAGGCTGTTTAACGGACTCCCATTTTTTAAAATAAAATACCTTTGAATACTTTTCTCTGAAATAGCAATCCTTTGATTATGTATAGAGATGTGTGACACACACGAGTAATCTATGCTCTATTATGTATACTGAACAAAAATAAACACGCAACAATTTTACTGAGTTTACAGTTCATATAAGGAAATCAGCCAATTGAAATAAATTCTTCAGGCCCTAATCTATGGATTTTCCGACTGGGCAGCCATGGGTGATCAATCAGAAAGGGCTTTAATACAGACAGAAATACTCGTTTCATCAGCTGTCCGGGTGGCTGGTCTCAGACAATCCCGCAGGGGACGAAGCCGGATGTGGAGGTCCTGAACTCGCGTGGTTACACGTGGTCTGTGGTTGTGGGGTTGGACATACTGCCAAATTCTCTAAAACGACATTGGCTTATGGTAGAGAAATTAACATTAAATTATCTGGCAACCGCTCTGGTGGACATTCCTGCAGTCAGCATGCCAATTGCACGCTCCCTCAAAACTTGAGACATCTGTGGCATTGTGTTGTGTGACAAAACTGCACATTTTAGAGTGGCCTTTTTTTGTCCCCAGCACAAGTTGCACCTGTGAAATAATCATGCTGTTTAATCAGCTTCTTGATATGCCACACCTGTCAGGTGGATGGATTATCTTGGCACAGGAAAAATGCTCACTAACAGGGATGTAAACAAATTTGTGCACACAATTTGAGAGAAATAAGCTTTTTGTGCATATGGAACATTTCTGGATATTTTATTTCAGCTCATGAAACCAACACTTTACATGTTGCGTTTATATTTTTGTTCAGTATAGTTCTTTGGGTCACAATTTGGCCTACTAACACAATGTGACCTCAACAGAATGGCTCAACCTTATAGGCTTTATTTTTGAAAACCCCACAAGCAGCTGTCCATTTGTGACTCAAGACAATCACGACAGTACAGACTGATCCAACTTGTTCAGAGGCACCTGGTCACTCTAAGACCCTGTCTCAAAGTCCCTGTCCACAAATAAGATAAATACAATTACTGTGTTACTGTTAGCTGATGAGTAAGAGAGACACTCTGCAAGTACTATTTGTAGCTTTAATATAGACAAGGTCCAAAACTGCCTATGGCACCCTAGTACCCAATTTAAGGATCTAATGACAAGGCTTATCATCTGACTCGGTGCTTAACCAAAAGCATGGCAACATTAATCACTTCAAGTCAGCTCCCCTTGGGAAAGAGGTGAATTTTAACCCCTTTCCACACAAGTGATTTAGGACCAGACTCCCTGGCTCTGCCAATGACCAATCTCTCAGATAACTAGTGTTAGTGTTTGAACATCAGGGTGCTTTGTATGGAGAAAACCATACAGCTCTAATGTCTAGGCATGGCTATGGTCTTGGGTGTGTGCAGAGAAACTACAGACAATATTCTGGATGGAATATACAGTTTATTTCCATGTTAGTTTCTCCCCATTCTATTTACATTCATCTCTGGTTAACATTTCTCTACATCGCACATTTTTTTTGAAAATCTATTTTAAAACTAGGCCTACAGTCGTGGTCAAACGTTTTGAGAATGACACAAGTATTGGTCTTCAAAGTTTGCTGCTTCAGTGTTTAGATATTTTTGTCAGATGTTACTATGGTATACTGAAGTATAATTACAAACATTCCATAAATGTCAAAGGCTTTTATTGACAATTACATTAAGTTTATGCAAAGAGTCAATATTTGCAGTGTCGACCCTTCTTTTTCAAGACCTCTGCAATTCGCCCTGGAATGGTGTCAATTAACTTCTGGGCCACATCCTGACTAATGGCAGCCCATTCTTGCATAATCAATGCTTGGAGTTTGTCAGAATTTATGGGTTTGTGTTTGTCTACCCGCCTCTTGAGGATTGACCACAAGTTCTCAATGGGATTAAGGTCTGGGGAGTTTCCTGGCCATAGACCCAAAATGTCAATGTTTTGTTTCCCGAGATATTAGTTATCACTTTTGCCTTATGGCAAGGTGCTCCATCATGCTGGAAAAGGCATTGTTCGCGCTGAAGCCTTCTTCACAACAATTGAACTTCTCTCCTTGAAGATCCGATAAATGGTTGATTTAGGTGCAATCTTACTAGCAGCAATATCCTTGCCTGTGAAGCCCTTTTTGTGCAAAGCAATGATGATGGCACGTGTTTCCTTGCAGGTAACCATGGTTAACAGAGGAAGAACAATGATTTCAAGCACCACCCTCCTTTTAAAGCTTTCAGTCTGTTATTCTAACTCAATCAGCATGACAGAGTGATCTCCAGCCTTGTCAACACTCTCACCTGTGTTAACGAGAGAATCACTGACATGATGTCAGCTGGTCCTTTTGTGGCAGGGCTGAAATGCAGTGGAAATGTTTGGATTAAGTTCATTTTCATGGCAAAGAGGGACTTTGTAATTAATTGCAATTCATCTGATCACTCTTCATAACATTCTGGAGTATATGCAAATTGCCATCATAAAAACTGAGGCAGCAGACTTTGTGAAAATTAATATGTGTAATTCTCAAAACGTTTGACCACGACTGTACATCTCATGAGTGTGCTCAACTGCACACAGAAAGTACAACAGAAAAGCTCAGTAACAGTGCATGTGGATTATTCCTAAATAAGCCTGTTTAACTGCACTGAATCAAATGCCCACATTCTTGCAAAGCAGATCAGTTCATTTTCTGCACTTTGGTTACTACTCATTCCTGGTGGGTTGATCCAGTGACTTTGATTGGATACTGCCTATAGTTCCACTGCTTCTTATCAGAAACAGAATGGTGCTGTTGAAGGGTGAGGTCTGGACAAACAAAGCAGTAGCACAAGGCAACCTCGTACACACAGGGAATCTTCAACTCAGTTATTTACATGATAGATTTAAATATTTATAAAATATTCCAAAGCCATACACATAGTGCAAACAGACATGAGGAAAGTATTCCGTACAGTAGGTCCATAATTCAGAGGCTTCATCCTTGTCTACCTCAAACAACGAGGGGTAAAGCGTAAGTAGTCAGAGCAACAAATTAAACAAACAAAAAAAGTGTTTAATCGCCATTTAAGAATTTGGCTTGTAGCAATAAAAAAAAATTATATATATATATAATTACATAGCATGTAAATAAATAGGTTTTTCACCACTTCACCATTTTGGAGTATGAGCCACTGTGTGTGAGGAGCTTTTCAACTTACAGTAGAGGAAACCTGAACTACAAGCCAGTGAACCACCCTCCACTGACAAAGCCACGAGCCTAGGTGTGTGTGGTGTGTGAGAGAGTGTAGAGTCCTCCTTATGCGTAGGTTCCCCCTGTCATGAGAAGTTCGTAGGCAGGGTCACGGCTCCTCCGGCACAGCACCACAAAGGCACACAGCATCCCAAATACCTAGGCAAGGAAAACAGCAGGGGTTTAAGTATAGTGTCATCCATGTCTTCCATCCATACCTTCCTGAGGAGGTCACCTGTCAACCTCTGACCTGGACGCTAAGCTAACTAGTCTCCCAGGAAAGGCTGAGCAAGGACACAAAGATACTACATTAGCAGCAAACAGGGAAGCATCTGGGTCAAAAGCCTCTAGAAGTACTGCAAACCAGCAAATTCACATCCACACAGATGCCTCATCAGCCCATAAAATAAGATAATCTAATGATGAAATCCAGAGGTGACATTATAAAAGGAAGAAACTACAGTACATTGATAAACAGCTATTTAAATGTAGACTAGGACCTTTTGCTGTCCAGTAATTTCGGTGAGAAAAACAAATCAAGTGATGAATGACAGAGCTTTAACGCAGCTCTCGCTCATGCAGCTGCCCCCTCATTGTGGTCAAACGAAAGGAATGAAAAGGGGTAAATCTAGCAAATAACATGCCGTCTTAATCCACCGACTTAATTTCGGTTAGAATATGATTATGAATATTTTTAACAAATCAAAGTAACTAATATATCAATCAAGTCAAGATAAATTGGCTGGGGACACCATTGTCTTAAGCCTCTATTTAGCCCAGTTTGAGATGACCTTGTGGTTATGCCATTCCCCCTTTCCCAGGAATTCCTAGATGTGAGTCAGCTGCATTTTCTCTGTCCCTATAGATGGGTTAGCTGACTGTCACGAAAACAATGCGCACGCTTCAATGGGACAGAAGTCTGAGTTGTTTTGATTCTGGATGGCCAGACAGCTTACCAACAATGACAAGAAACTGCCATGTGGGGAATCGTAAGTGACTTGTTTCAGGTAGTTTCATCTTATTCTTGATACCATGTCTTGTTTTGGAGGTGTTTTGACTAATTTCATGTCAATGCTAATATGGCTAAAATTCGCTAGCTAGCTAACCAGACAACTGTAACTATGTATTTGAGAGACAAGTGCTCATTTTGCAAATGTATTAATGTTTTCAATTAACATTGGAGACTAAATGTAGTTTACATGTTGACAACAATCTAAGCCAACCCAGTCAGATTTTCCCCATAGTTGCGCACGTGTCAGTTTTGTTGCTAAACAACCAACCTGTCTATGAAAAATGTAACAGTCCCCTCTGGGCCCTGTCCCTTGAGACTGCTGGAGTGTGGCAGGGGGGTTAACATAATAAGGGCATACCTCAGGCCCACTCAGCCTTCATACTGAATCACTTCATGACTCATACCATAAGCGCTTTTCAGACAGACAGCGGAAAGTCGCTGAGTACCCCGCAGAGTACCCCACTTGTCCCTCTAGTCAAAGCGGCTAGTGCCTTCACAAAATAGGGCAACAGCACAGATAGAACAATGAGACAGATATTTCACCGGATGTATACATGTGAAGCATGGCGTTTCCACTACCAAATATGGTAGTGAGAGGAAGCCCAGTGGCCGGCAGTGGAAGGAGATGGAACAAGATGGACTTTGGCCGACATTCTGCTAATCTTCTCATCGATGAAACATTTGATCTCAATTCAGTTTTCTGTTCCCAAAACTAGAATATGTTAAGAACAGAGTGGATAAAGTTTAATAGACTTTACCCTTTGCCAAAAAATTGGGTTGTTTAGAAGGAGAGCAAAGGCAAATTGAGTTATTGTACACACGCCCTTCACAAAGTAGGCGTTCTTTAACGGAAATATGCGAACGCATGCTAGAACGCGCCAACACAATTATTGTTATTGTTAAACGGGACTCTGTAAACTGATAGTTAGCCAGCTAGCTGGAGTGGGTAAGTTAGCCGGTCCTACTGTTGGACGTACGTGCTGATGTATCTCCACGCAAGCTACGTTTTCTACTGTGATTGGTCAACAACGCTGCTGACGTATATCACCACGCAAGCTACATTTTCTACTGTGATTGGTCAACAACGCTGGCGCCGCTTGAAAAATAGAGCAGAATCCTATTTTCTCCACCTTGGCTGAGCGGCTTCCACGGACACGGGCATCTCCACCCCATTAGTTGAAAGAAAGAGCTGATGGAAGTTTTATTGTACCTGAATTGCAGCGAATGTCAGTGCAGCCCAGATGACATACATAATAATCTCCTTTAGTTTCTTCACAACAAGGGCTTCACATCCCTGGAGACACACAAACAATACATTGTGTAAGAGAATCAATTTGTATATTATGCAAGCGAGAAAAGCATAGGTATGTTTTGGATCTCTTACCTCTGGATAGAGGTCTCCAGGATGGGCTAGAGAGCCTGTACAGTTGCTGATGTTAGGTTTGCAGCAGCTCACTGGTACACTGTTGTTTCGAGACTCATTAAACCAGCGTGTGTTCCTCCAGTCTGAGTAATTGTGAATCCCACAACAGTGGAGCTGCAGGCATGACAAATGGTGATGGTTAATACTAGGTCAATTCAATACAGCTTTAAATTACTTTTAAATTGTTACACAAAACATGAATTGCTCAAGTTTCATGCTCTCACCTGTCTTTGCACGTAGTCAATGGCACGGCTCGGAGCGTCTGTGTTGGTGCCATTGTACTCATTGTACACCTTCTGGATGGAGTGATTGACCTCATCTTCAACCTGTAAACAAACAGGTAACTGTGCTTAATAGGTCCATCTTACACAACCTCAATGCTTTTCTGATGAATACCAATCACTATATCCAATCACTTCACTTTGGATAGCACTTTTCCTGTCATGGGAAAACGAATCTCCAAACATGTAGGCTAAATAGAAAACGACATAGCGGCTATTATGTTTTCCATGGAGAAAATGGGTAATATTGTGGTTGGTAGAAAAACATTTCCCATTGGGAACGTATCCAGAGAATTGGTATCCTGAACAAAATATTTATTGCACAAACGTACTGTCTCCTTGATATGTACTTTACTTAAACCCTATTCGCATGGAACTAGTTTTACTAGAGAATGTTGGTTACGTAATCATTACCTCAGAATATCCGTTATTCCAAAGGAAGATTCAGACGGGATTTGTTTTTTCCAAACAGACCCCTGTAATTCTGGAGGTTTTTATTCTACGCTTGAAGATATTTCAACATATCCAGGTGATAACAGGCTACACTGATAACTAGTGCTTGACTACCTAACAATTTTTGGTATAGTGTCGCCACAATATTTTAATTGAGGAAGTGTGATCATAATCATTATTTTAGCGATCTGCAGTAGACATTGTAAATGCCCCCCAGCCTGCAGATGTGAGCTAAACAGCGCACTTGCACTTGAGATGCGCTTTTAGGCTATGGATGAGAAAGTGAACTTGTCATTGCCAAAAGTTAGCTCAGTTGGAATGCTGCTTTGCGATCTATTAACAGCAAAGGTTGCATTAAATAGGAGCAATATTTTTTTTCATTACACATTTGCCGATGTTCAATTCTTTGGCACAAACATATAAACAAAAGCATTCACTGTGAAAGTTGATACATGTACAGTAGGTCCTTCATATATAGGTTATGTGCAGCATTTAGTTTTAAGCATCAATTTATCTAACCAGTTATTGTTTTCTTGCTCAAACCACAAGCAACACCTGTCAAACTCAAGACATTTCTCTCAAAACACAGGGATGTCGTTTCGCACGTGACTAGTATTATCAGAGGACCTTGGAGTTAGTCGACAAACAGTAGGTTTTAGGAATTATTACTCTCCTACTATGTAAAAAATGACCGACATGGCAGAGTCGGACGGGGGACTTAAATTACGGATGTGGTAATTTGTGCTCGTACACATAATTACACAACCCCAACTCTCCCAGTAAAACTAGTCCCATGCAAATAGGGCTTTACACACCTTTGATCTGTAAATATAACCAAAAACCACCACAGCCACTTCCGTCACAAACACCAGCAGGAGAAGGACGACAAACTGTGGGGAAAAGAGGAATAATTAAACATAGAAGAAACTCCTGAAAATAAAAGGGTGCCTAGCATTCATAAGATGCATATTTAAATCAATAAACTGTAATGAAGCATTATCCAACATGATACAAAACATGAACTCTTATATCTGTAGCCTGAACCGAGGCTATGCATTTAGTAATCGGTCATCAGGATTGAGGGTAGGGGTGGGCAATATGAACTAAAATTCATATCACAATATTTTCTTTCCACTGTCCGGACGATAACGATATAATATCACGATATACTGTACACTTAAAAAAATAAAAATGTTACTTCTGTTGTAAAGCTGTGCAAACATGAAACATAAACAAAGGTATATGAGTTAAATAAATATGCAGTAAAATGAAATGTACTCATATTTAAAGTACTCAAGATGTAAACTTTTTCCTGCCAAATATAAGAATTGCATAACACCGGTTATGAATTCAAGTTGTAAACCTTTTCAAATTAACTTCAAGCATTAACCAGAGTCTGTATGTTTCTCAGTTCAGCATGTAACAATTCACTGCCTCCCTCTTCACAAGTTCAGTGCCAGGAACACCAGCCTATTGACTGTTTCTGGCTTCAAAGTTGCCTGTGGCATGTGACCACATTGCCCCCAGTGCTAAATGCTCTCTCAGAGGGTGAACTTGTGGCAGGGATGCATAAGTATTTCTTTGTCAGACAACTCAATTGTGGGAAGTTGGATGCGTCAACTCGCCACCACTCCAAAGGATCAGCCTCACTGTCTGCTGCCATCATCAGAGTGTAGCCATCCAGCTCTTGCTCGATGACCTGTCTCTGGGTTCTTAAGGCAGGTGCACTACTGGTTTTCTTAAAGAAGCTTCCAAGGCTCTTCTTGGACTTCTTTGCTGATTGTGGAGCAGTGGCAGCTTCTTTCTCTCACTCTGGTCCTCTTCAAGAGATAAGTCTCCCATGGCTGTGTTCCCTACCAGAAGGGCTTCTGTCTCGGAGGCAGCTCTCACCTTCACCAGCTTCTCAGTGGTCTTGTAGGTGGTCTTGAACCTTGGGTCCAGAAAGGTAGCCATGGTGAGCAGCTCATCTGTTTCAGGCTCGGTGTTTTTGTCATTCAGGTAATTGGAGGACCCTCATCTTAATCTCTCGGGTCAGTTTGGCTTCGCCCTCATTTGATTTCAGAACCTCAGTCTTGAACAAATGGAGGACCGGCTTCAGATAGGACACAAGTATGTCTCTCCTGACAGAGCATCTGTGAAATCCTGGAGGGGCTTAAGTGTAGGACATACAGTGGGGAGAACAAGTATTTGATACACTGCCGATTTTGCAGGTTTTCCTACTTACAAAGCATGTAGAGGTCTTTAATTTTTATCATAGGTACACTTCAACTGTGAGAGACGGAATCTAAAACAAAAATCCAGAAAATCACATTGTATGATTTTTAAGTAATTCATTTGCATTTTATTGCATGACATAAGTATTTGATCACCTACCAACCAGTAAGAATTCCGGCTCTCACAGACCTGTTAGTTTTTCTTTAAGAAGCCCTCCTGTTCTCCACTCATTACCTGTATTAACTGCACCTGTTTGAACTCGTTACCTGTATAAAAGACACCTGTCCACACACTCAAACAGACTCCAACCTCTCCACAATGGCCAAGACCAGAGAGCTGTGTAAGGACATCAGGGATAAAATTGTAGACCTGCACAAGGCTGGGATGGGCTACAGGACAATAGGCAAGCAGCTTGGTGAGAAGGCAACAACTGTCGGCGCAATTATTAGAAAATGGAAGAAGTTCAAGATGACGGTCAATCACCCTCGGTCTGGGGCTCCATGCAAGATCTCACCTCGTGGGGCATCAATGATCATGAGGAAGGTGAGGGATCAGCCCAGAACTACACGGCAGGACCTGGTCAATGACCTGAAGAGAGCTGGGACCACAGTCTCAAAGAAAACCATTAGTAACACACTACGCCGTCATGGATTAAAATCCTGCAGCGCACGCAAGGTCCCCCTGCTCAAGCCAGCGCATGTCCAGGCCCGTCTGAAGTTTGCCAATGACCATCTGGATGATCCAGAGGAGGAATGGGAGAAGGTCATGTGGTCTGATGAGACAAAAATATAGCTTTTTGGTCTAAACCCCAAGAACACCATCCCAACCGTGAAGCATGGAGGTGGAAACATCATTCTTTGGGGAGGCTTTTCTGCAAAGGGGACAGGACGACTGCACCGTATTGAGGGGAGGATGGATGGGGCCATGTATCGCGAGATCTTGGCCAACAACCTCCTTCCCTCAGTAAGAGCATTGAAGATGGGTCGTGGCTGGGTCTTCCAGCATGACAATGACCCGAAACACACAGCCAGGGCAACTAAGGAGTGGCTCCGTAAGAAGCATCTCAAGGTCCTGGAGTGGCCTAGCCAGTCTCCAGACCTGAACCCAATAGAAAATCTTTGGAGGGAGCTGAAAGTCCGTATTGTCCAGCGACAGCCCTGAAACCTGAAGGATCTGGAGAAGGTCTGTATGGAGGAGTGGGCCAAAATCCCTGCTGCAATGTGTGCAAACCTGGTCAAGACCTACAGGAAACGTATGATTTCTGTAATTGCAAACAAAGGTTTCTGTACCAAATATTAAGTTCTGCTTTTCTGATGTATCAAATACTTATGTCATGCAATAAAATGCAAATGTATTACTTAAAAATCATACAATGTGATTTTCTGGATTTTTGTTTTAGATTCCGTCTCTCACAGTTGAAGTGTACCTATGATAAAAATTACAGACCTCTACATGCTTTGTAAGTAGGAAAACCTGCAAAATCGGCAGTGTATCAAATACTTGTTCTCCCCACTGTAAGTATGTCTCTCCTGACAGGGCATCTGTGAAATCCTGGAGGGGCTTAAGTGCTGCCAGGAGGGTGCAAGGTGCCGTGTTTTTTTGTCTGCTGCCAGGACTTGTGTGATGGCCTTTTCCTGCTCCAGGACTCTTTCCATCATCTGCAGCCGAGATCCCCACCTTGTCGGGGATTCCGTGATGAGCTTGTGGAGGGGCAGGCTCAGTTTATCCTGTGCACTTGTCAGGGCCTTCTGCTTCTTCCAACTATAGGAAAATGTGCTGACCACTTTCTTGCACACTCCTGTGGCCCGGGAAACCCAAGGTTCGTTTTGGACACTCCTCTCTGAAAAATAAAAAGGTGAAAAATAATTACATATGAATCACAATTATTCAATAGAAATAACATTGCATCAGCTGTAATTACAACAATTTACAGCATGGCCACTGGACATGATTACAAATGTAATCCATCTATAGATGTACATACAACTGTTGTGATTAAGAGAGCTATGTTGCTTTAAAAAACAGGATCATTTATTGAGTAGGCTATTTATTATTGAAAGAGAGAGGATAGATTAATATATTGAAACCATAGGCTAATGTATCAATTATAAATAAAAGGAATGTAATCCATGTAATGTTTGGATATTGCACACATTTACAAATATTATAGATTTGCATAGCTGTGTGTGTATATGTATGTACAGTGGGGGAAAAAAAGTATTTAGTCAGCCACCAATTGTGCAAGTTCTCCCACTTAAAAAGATGAGAGAGGCCTGTAATTTTCATCATAGGTACACGTCAACTATAACAGACAAATTGAGAAAAACAAATCCAGAAAATCACATTGTAGGATTTTTTATGAATTTATGGTGGAAAATAAGTATTTGGTCACCTACAAACAAGCAAGATTTCTGGCTCTCACAGACCTGTAACAACTTCTTTAAGAGGCTCCTCTGTCCTCCACTCGTTACCTGTATTAATGGCACCTGTTTGAACTTGTTATCAGTATAAAAGACACCTGTCCACAACCTCAAACAGTCACACTCCAAACTCCACTATGGCCAAGACCAAAGAGCTGTCAAAGGACACCAGAAACAAAATTGTAGACCTGCACCAGGCTGGGAAGACTGAATCTGCAATAGGTAAGCAGCTTGGTTTGAAGAAATCAACTGTGGGAGCAATTATTAGGAAATGGAAGACATACAAGACCACTGATAATCTCCCTCGATCTGGGGCTCCACGCAAGATCTCACCCCGTGGGGTCGAAATGATCACAAGAACGGTGAGCAAAAATCCCAGAACTACACGGGGGGACCTAGTGAATGACCTGCAGAGAGCTGGGACCAAAGTAACAAAGCCTACCATCAGTAACACACTACACCGCCAGGGACTCAAATCCTGCAGTGCCAGACGTGTCCCCCTGCTTAAGCCAGAACATGTCCAGGCCCGTCTGAAGTTTGCTAGAGTGCATTTGGATGATCCAGAAGAGGATTGGGAGAATGTCATATGGTCAGATGAAACCAAAATAGAACTTTTTGGTCAAAACTCAACTCGTCGTGTTTGGAGGACAAAGAATGCTGAGTTGCATCCAAAGAACACCATACCTACTGTGAAGCATGGGGGTGGAAACATCATGCTTCGGGGCTGTTTTTCTGCAAAGGGACCAGGACGACTGATCCGTGTAAAGGAAAGAATGAATGGGGCCATGTATCGTGAGATTTTGAGTGAAAACCTCCTTCCATCAGCAAGGGCATTGAAGATGAAATGTGGCTGGGTCTTTCAGCATGACAATGATCCCAAACACACCGCCCGGGCAACGAAGGAGTGGCTTCGTAAGAAGCATTTCAAGGTCCTGGAGTGGCCTAGCCAGTATCCAGATCTCAACCCCATAGAAAATCTTTGGAGGGAGTTGAAAGTCTGTGTTGCCCAGCGACAGCCCCAAAACATCACTGCTCTAGAGGAGATCTGCATGGAGGAATGGGCCAAAATACCAGCAACAGTGTGTGAAAACCTTGTGAAGACTTACAGAAAACGTTTGACCTGTGTCATTGCCAACAAAGGGTATATAACAAAGTATTGAGAAACCTTTGTTATTGACCAAATACTTATTTTCCACCATAATTTGCAAATAAATTCATTAAAAATCCTACAATGTGATTTTCTGGAAAAAAATCTCATTTTGTCTGTCATAGTTGACGTGTACCTATGATGAAAATTACAGGCCTCTCTCATCTTTTTAAGTGGGAGAACTTGCACAATTGGTGGCTGACTAAATACTTTTTTCCCCCCCACTGTATGTATGTATTTATACATATATACATACGGCTTAACGTATAAGGAGGATCAGGCAGTGTAGTCAGCTATAACTTTAAACAGAGGAGATAAGGAAAACAATAGTTATTCTGCATTTTAAGTTACGTTATTTTTCTACCTAGCTCTGTGTTTTGGAAGTTGAAACTTACCAATAGCAATGTGTAGCCTGTGTCCGAAACATCCTAGTCTTGTCCATTTGTTCAGCTCCAATGCTTTGACGATGTTCGATCCGCTGTCAGTAGTCATACATACTTGACGCGACTTTCAAGCCCCAGGATGAAAGTGCCTCCCTCAGCCCAGCTGCAATTATTTATCCGGTGTGGTCGTCTGGGAAATAAGAGGTCTGAAGGCATTTGCTTTGCAGCTTCCAGTTGTCGTCAATGTAATGAATCGTGAGGCTAATGTATGGCTCAGTGGTCCGGCTTGACCATAAGTCGGTAGAGAAGAACGCAGCGTTATGGATTTCGTTGGCAACTCGGTCTCGACATTCTGTGCAGAGTTCTGGCAGACATGTTTTGCTGAAGTATTTACGGCTCGGGATCTCGTATCTTGGGTCTAGAGTTCGAATCAACTTTCTGAAACAGTCTTTCTCCACAGTTTGAATTGGTTACATGTCTTTTGCTATGTGATACGTAATTGCATTCATTATCTCATTCCACTTCTTGCTCTTCTTGTCATAGGGAGCACCACTAACGAATAGCTGAGTGCGGGTCTGGCTTGAAGATGTCTTGGGACTCGCTCCGCTGCTCCGGAGGTTTGTTGCACACATTCTGGTAGATTCTTCATATTCACGCACATGCAGGGTTTTCAGGTGGTTAAAAAGATTGCTGGTGTTTCCACCTTTGGCTAGCACAATGCGTCGACACAACTTACACAGTACTGTTTGTTGGTCGAGGTCGGATATCTTAAAGTCAAACCAGTTCCAAACGACAGAGGCGGCCCCCTTTTTTCGAACCAATTCTTCGTCGTCCTGCAAATCAACCTCAATAGCGTTCTTTTTTTGTCTTCAGTCATCCTCAATGCTTGCTTACACTTGTGCGCTTCATTTTTCGGACACTTTTGCTAACGAAAGGAGTTTACTTCACTAAATGTTCGTTTACTTTGCAGTTGCGCATGCTTGTTTGTTGACTTAGATTGGCGGGCAGATTGTGTGTAACGTCCATTCTTCTACTTTTTTTATTTGCTAAAAAAGGCTGTTTTTGTAAAATAAAGATTTTGAACTAGCCCACTAGGCTGTATCATTTGACAGAAATGTTGAACTAAACAAAAACGCCTTATTTCATACATTAATTTATCATGACATGCACGATATGGCAAAATCCATATCATGGCACAACGTCATACCGGTATACCGCCCACCCCTAATTGAGGGATATGATATCTGAGCCCAGGTTGAACGTTGTAGTAGTAGGTGATAAGAAAATATTCACTAACCGTTGCAAGCCCAGAGCGGCTTTCTCGTATTGTGGCACAACATCCAATAAGACCGATGATGAAAAGGAGGCCTCCTACTGCAATTATGGTCACAGCAGGGATAAGGGTGTACACATCTTCAAAGAAGTGGTCATAGTCATCATAGGTTATGAACACGTAGGCTCCAACATAGCACAAAATCCCTGCTGCTGCCTGTGTGTTTGGGGGGGGGGGGGAATAGTATTAATACCACAAAAAAAGCATTTTAATGTTAAAATGAGTACAGCCTCTCTGAGTCTGATGGTCCCTGAGAGGATATGGTAGACCTTGCTCTCGAGAACCCAAGGCATTAACAAGGCATTCTGCCTTATCCCAAGGGTTCTCCGCTACAAGCACCGCTTAACATTTAGAAACGTCAATAATCATCGCTTGCGATTCGGGTTTCGAAACATATGGAATGTCTCTCTCAAATCAGCGAGAAATAATCGTTCCAAAAAGATACACACTTACTGTAGCAGGTTTGCACAGATCCATACGGTTGTGTGCCTCCAGCTGCCAAACTACACTTCTACTACACTTCCTTCCCAGTTCGCTTACACACAGGTGTTCAAGAACACTAGATAGCCAATTCGCACAGGTGGTCACCTCTGTCTTCCGTAAACAAGCGCTGTAACGTGTAGATATGGCCATGTGTGAACACTAACCCTAAAAAAAGGTGTTTAACCTTTTGTATTTAGAAAATTATTTCTCGCTGATATGAAAAATTGGTCCTTATGTACCCACATCTGCCCCCCATTGCGAGCAAAACATTTTAGTGGCCCCCCTCTTCACAGTCTACAAATTTTGCCATGGGGTGTAGAGAAAATGTTGCAGTTTTAAAGCAAGTTTTTGCCTGCAATTGTACACATTTTGCCATGGGGCGGAGAGAAGATTTTGCTCTTTATAACAAATGTCATGCAAGTCTACTCATTTTGCCTTGGGCAGAGAGGAAAATGTGCTGTTTTACAGCTAATTTCCTGCAATTCTACACATGTTGCCATAGGGTGGAGAGGTATTTTTGCAGTTTTTAATATGATATCTGAGTGAGACTGACTAACTAAATCAATGCCCCCCCCCAACCAGTAATTAGACCATGATAACAAGTTTAGATAATTGTACGCTCAACTAATTTAGCAATCTAAAAAAATTTACCTGACATGGGCTAATTGACTGACTATCAGTGACTGACATAAGAGAGAAACTGCTGATGCACAACCACATTTCGAAATTGTGTAGTATTCTACTATTTTAACTCGCAACAGTAAGTTGCGACCCCGACTCAGTTTCCCATAAACCGCTGGCAAAGTTGCCCATCCCTGTGTTAAAGGTAGTTAGTGTATATGAATGGGCTAACCTAGGCCTAATAAAAAATATTTAAAAAAGAGCCCAATCTTGAGCGGGCTAAGGATGGCCTGAACGGTGTATGTCTGACACAAAAGCATAACTATTACAACCATCCTATTTGCATTACAATAACTCAATCCTTCAATTGGAATGATTTGATTGATCACGGACTGGCAAAGTTCAATACAGAACAGTGTTTATTGATCTTTCAAACATCATCCTAACATATTGAAGTTCAGAAAAAGAGCAGCTAACAAAGACTTTGTGTTGAGGACCATTGTGGCTAAAAGGGGAAGACTCCAGTGCAGGCAGTGCCTTTCGTCCTGGGAAAAATGGGCCACAAAAGCCCTGCATGAAACTCCCTCTAGCAGCAGTAGCCAAAGCAACCTGACAGGAAAGAAAGAGATAGAGGCGAAGGAAATGTTCAGCCAACTATTTTGGGATAGCTAAAAGGGATAGCAACAACATGACCGCAATAACATTGCATTAGAATAACCAAAAACCCAAATTCTCAAACAGTAGCTAACTATATTGAAGCTAAAGATAGATAAACAGCCACAGGGCCGAGGTTGCCTTGAATGGCTAGCAGGTTGCTTCCAAATTTGCTGCGTATAATGTTGAGGAAGGGATGTTGCGCATTAATTCCCAATCGACAAGATGTCGTTTTAACTTACCCAAAAAATGAGGTTCAGAAAAACCAGCACAGTCTTTGATGAGGTGATACCACACTGCCCCATGTTTAAGACAGGTTTTGTCTATTATTATGGTAAAAACGTATTTGTAAAATGGCTGGCTATGTACTCCTGCGTTTGTAATCCATGCCCGACTAGCGCTTATTCTCTTGACTCGCACACACCCGAGCGCCAGCACCACAGAAATCAACCAGTTTGAGGTCATGTGACCCGATGTTCCAACCTCAACAGCTCATCCTAGCAGCAAATATGTTTTATAACTAACTCATTGTTCCATCTGTGCTATCAGTGTTTGTATCATAATGACAAAAACATATGGATCAGTGAGTACATTTACATATGTAAAGGACATCACGCTGCTTGCTTAGTGAGTACACTTCCTCCCTATTCGTCCCATGCATACTGGCACGACCTCTGCCTCACAAACACACGTGACTTCTTCTTCTTCTTCTTCTTCTTCTTCTTCGATTAGGTTTAACGGCGGTTGGCATCCAATAAATGTTGCATTATCGCCACCTACTACACTGGAGTACAACTCCCTTATACTTTACATTTACATTTTACATTTTAGTCATTTAGCAGACGCTCTTATCCAGAGCGATTTAAAGTTAGTGAGTGCATACATTTTCATACTGGGGCATACTTTGCTTGAAAAAATACCCTACCATCTTCCACTACACTCACAAAAAATAAAATAATGATAATAAAATAACACCACCCTACTCCACTATTTAAATATATTTAGTCCTACCCAGGGGCGGTGTGTTCATTAGGGCGATATGGGCGACGCACTGCCAAACGGGAAAAGGAAGGGATTTTTTTTCTAATCAATTATATCACGGCAACAGTAGTTATCAGTGTTCTAATCTAGACGTCTGATCTGCCACTAAATGTCCTATCAGGCTAAAGTCGTGCTTCAAATGGCCCCGCCCCTTTTGGGGCGATTTCAGTCAGGTTGAAAATCGCCCAGGAGTCTCTCATAGACTCTCATGTAAAATCTTTTTTTTTTTCAAATATCAGAGCTTTCAATACAATCTCTATGGGTTCCGGGAGGGCTTGCACTTACGCGCTTTCGTCATACGTAACATAAGTAACCATGAACATAACTAAGAAAAGAGCGGGTAGCAGCGTCAATCAATTCACGTACTACTGTCAAGATGGCTAGCCTTGCGAGGCAAAGATGAAACTGAGGGCTCCACCAACCCTGGTATTTTTCTTGGACTTGTCAACTTTGTGGCACAATTAGATGAGGTGTTTGATGACCATCTTAAAAATGCTAAAGTTTTCAAGGGCACATCAAAGACCATTCAAAACGAGCTACTGGAGTGTATGCTAGCGGTCATGAGGGAACATATTGTGGAGGAGGTGAAGTCGGCGAACTTCGTAGCTATCCAAGCTGACGAGACCACGGACGTTTCTACACAGACACAGCTGGTGCTTGTGCTGAGGTACATAGATAGCAACCACAAAGTGCAGGAGCGCTTTTTTGAGTTCCTTCCCATCTCGGAATCAACCTCAGTCTCAATCGCCAGTGTGCTTTTGGAGAGACTGAACGGTCTTTTTGCCGACGACGAGAAAGTCAAACTCATTGCGCAAGCTTACGATGGAGCCAGTGTGATGAGGGGAGAGAAGGCTGGTGTGCAGCAAAAGGTGCGTGAGCATTTCAAGAATGCCCATTACGTGCATTGCTATGCGCATCAGCTGAATTTGATCATGCAGCAAGCTAGAACAGTTTCAGTACAAGTAATGTAGCCTCTCTCTCTCTTTGTCCCTCCCTGTCTGTCTCTTTAACACACACACGCCCAAATCAGTTCACAGTTGATGTCGTTTAAAATAGTTATTTTTCATTTTAAAAAAAGTAATAAAAAAAAAAAAAAATATGTTCATGTTCATTTTTACAAATCTATACAATTGGCCAGAATATGGTTGTTCATATTTACAAATCTATACAATTGGCCAGAATATGGTTGTTCATTTTTACAAAGCCATACAGATAGCTGTGTTTACCTTTTCTATAAATTATTTTCAAATTCTGTTTTCAGGCAAAATGTCTATCACTGTTCATTTTCACAAATCTATACAAGAGGGCAGAATATGGAAGTCTATAAAAATGTCTTATTACCAATAACTTGCATCAATGTTTTCAGTAGCCTCTATCAAAAGCTCCTGCTTGCTTGTTGTGAATTATGCTCAGGTGCACATATTTCCAATTCAACCATGAGGCCTTTTTGAAGCAAGTAATGTGTATATCAGTATTGACTTATATGCTGCCCCTGTCTTCATGTTGTTGCTGGACATATCTTTTTTTAAATGTGTGTAGGTCACCTAAATCATCAGAAAAATTGCCCCCCCTGAGAATTTTTTCAGGAGGTCCTACCTCAGGCCAACAACCTGAAAGGATGAGACACCACCACTTAACACACCCTGTAACTCTTCTGATGTCAAGTCTCGCACACCCAAATACCTCTCTGCAGCTGCCACCATAACCTCAATTTTCTGCGACTTACGTTCCATCCCTGCAGTACAGTTGATAACCATTGCTATAAATGCCAAAAACCAATCTTACTGAAACATACAGTTGAAGTCGGAAGTTTACATACACCTTTTGCCAAATACATCAGCTGGCGTAACTGAGTCAGGTTTGTAGGCCTCCTTGCTCGCACACGCTTTTTCAGTTCTGCCCACAAATGTTCTATAGGATTGAGGTCAGGGCTTTGTGATGGCCACTCCAATATCTTGACTTTGTTGTCCTTAAGCCATTTTGCCACAACTTTGGAAGTATGCTTGGGGTCATTGACCATTTACATTTTTGTCATTTAGCAGAGCGACTTACAGTGAGTGCATAATTTATTTATTTTATAATTTTTTTCATACTGGCCCCCCGTGGGAAACGAACCCACAACCCTGGCATTGCAAACACCATGCTCTACCAACTGTGCTACATCCCTGCCGGCCATTCCCTCCCCTACCCTGGACGACGCTGGGCCAATTGTGCACCGCGCCATGGGTCTCCCGGTCGCGGCCGGCTATGACAGAGCCTGGATTCGAACCAGGATCTCTAGCGGCACAGCTAGCACTGCGATGCAGTGCCTTAGACCACTGCGCCACACGGGAGACGATTTGGAAGACCCATTGCGA